GTTCAGAAGCATTCGCTAGGGCAGGGCCGAGATTCGCTAGGGCAGGGCCGAGATTATTACCTCCAGCGGTGAGCAAGGCACCCATGCTGTCGGCGAATGCTTTATGCAGATCGGGCAGTGTCGCTCAAGCGACGCAGGCAGTACAACTATCACCAGAGGGCGACGTCACCGCCTTTAGCACGTTTACTAAATGCTATACCGACGCAATTGATGCGTCACTGCCTTGCATAGCGTTCGGTGGGCTGCCAGCTATCGATGATCGAATGCACTTGGAAGAAATCCTTGTACCACCAAATCTTCATTTTGCGTCACATTCCGCAACTTTTCCTAATTTGTGTAAGCTAGTAAATTACGTCGTCATTTCGAAGATAAATACGCATGAATAGCAAGCCTGACCAAGGACTGTTTGTAAAATCAAAGTTGGCAAGAATGGCCGTGGTCGGGGAAACTACAAAAGCCTGGCAAAAATCTTCCACTTGCGTAATCGCTGCTAATTCCCAGAAAGATTACATGTAGAGCGACATGACCTGCGCTCAGGAAGCTGCGATGCGGGTCGTCCCTTGGGATAAATGGCACGTAGACTGTTGCCCAGCTCTATTCTCGTCTGACAAAACACCGTTTACATTTTAAAGGCGAATACTTATGAGTATGTGACTTAAATTCCAGTAGATACACGGCAAGATACATGAGAGGTGAGACTATTTACGTGCTTCATAAATAGTCTTAGTCAATATATAGTCTTAGTAAAACTATTTAATGTAAGCAAGTCCAAAACCTACTTACATTAAATAGTCTCAGTCAGACTAATTACCGTGAACACTGTAGCTTAAAATAAACAGGAAAAGACAAAGTACGGCCGAAATTTTAAAATAATCCCGAAACGGATCCGTGAGCAAACGTTAGATTCAAAACATAGCTAATAGCTGTGACGTGTTGCATAAACAATACACTTGATGTGACTAATAGCTGTCACGCAACGCAAAACTCAGCATGCTATTACACACCTTATATTATATACCATACCTTGACACTTTTTTTAAACTATAAATAAAATACAAGATATATAAGTTACAAAACGATTACGTTGAGAAGACACAAATTTCAATTTACAAAGGTTGCGATTCTTTTTATATTATTACCATCACATAATATTGCATCTCACTATGACATTATTAAGATTATTAATATTGCTACAAATGCAACATATTATATTAAACATTAGCTTTTATTGTGCTTTGCAATGATTTTGGCAATATGAGGCGAGATTTGCTGTATTTATAGCGACCACCTGCTAGATTTACGATAAATCGAGGTGCATAAATGGGTGGAGGCCTAGAATTACGCTAAAAGCGCCACAATTGCACTTTTGAAAGTGCAATTGTGGCTGTGCAGCTGCAATTCTGTAGGTTTTTATCCACAAGCACCTACACACACGGCAATTATACATAAGAGGGTGGTTGTGCTGGGGATCATGGACAGTGGTGTACTGGGCCAATGCATGGCTGCTGACAGGCCCTCCCAAGTCAATATATATATATGAGGAGGTGGATTTATGCATAATTTTAGCAGGTCTTCGTTCACACATATTTAGGAGCAGGCTTTGCCATATTTAGCGTCTAAAATGGTCGGCAAAATTACTGCAAAGCACAATATTTGGTTTAATATATCACTGATTTATAAATAAATAGTATTGAATACTTAGTTATGTAATACACAACTTTTAGACAAAAATGAAAAAAGTTTAATTAAGTTCTAAATAGGTAGAATTGTTAATGTTTTAGACAACATTGTTTTAAACTAAGGCGCGGTTCGCACGCATGCTTCTCTGTAACTGCAAGTTACCATTGTATCACGCAAATACGACCACGCGTACTATCACTATCTATGTGCTTCGCTGGAGAGCCTTTGATATTTTGTACACGTTTTAGTGTTGTAGTAGAAAATGATCCAGTATTTTGCAAGATTTGAAAACTGTAGTTACCAATGTCGCCACAACTATTCTTTTATCAAATATTTTAGTACACGTAAGGGGCCCGAGATAGCTTAGCACTTTGTTAATTAGCGCTCGTAACGCGTTCATCCTAACTCATTTTCATAGTAAGTTCTACTGTTTGAACTTGCGAGCGTAGATCTAAAAGTCGGCTTTGTGCAAATGCTACTTTGTCACTGCTTGCTTGGATTTATATAGTAGTTATAGTAGTGATAGTAGTAGCTGTAGTAGTAGTATTGCTATGAGCTATTACCAGTATTCACCCCATCTAGTGGGATTTGGATCCCCAGCCAAAAACTAGCGCAACAACTTAGTCTAGTTATATTGTGGTAGCTAGCAAAACGAGACAGTCCATTAAGCACTAATTACAAAAAGTGGCTTATGTGGTACAGTGGTACTTTCCATAGTTAATGCCCTAGAAACTTCATAAATTACATGAATGTTGCCTGTGTCGTCGCCTCCTCCGCTTATGTATGGTCTTAATGTTGCGTGAAAGTACTTTAGAACGTATAATTTACTGCGTTGACAGCCTTAACTCATGTGCGCGCGAAGTTTGCTTGTTGTAACATCGCACAAAGTCTACCGCACTAATAGTACGACTGCGCCTGTTACGAGTCTAGTTGAATATGAGAAAAATTAGCAATCTTATGTACTGTATTATTATTATTATTATTATTATTATTATTATTATTATTATTATTATTATTAGTAGTAGTAGTAGTAGAAGAAGGAGGAGCAAGTATACTACCAGTGCACGAATATAAATATGGTAACATCGTGAACTAGACGCAAGCAATAAAAAATACTGAGAATGAAAGAGTACAATGTCAAACATTACGTACGTTTCTGTCTTAGCTGTCACTACTTTATTGCATGTAGGAGTAGTGCTTTGGGATAATATCTTCAAGGACAATTTAGCACTAGGGCTCCGCGAAGGCTGGGATAGGAGAATTTACCTCTTTTTAATTTTTTAATTTCTTTTCTTATTAGCCACGGTCATCTCCTGCGCTTGCTTCGCAGCCGCAGCATCTGCTCGAGAATTTGCCAGTTCAAACTGTCAACCGGCAACATTTTACAAACTTAAAAATTCGAGATTTGGTTGAGATCTATGTGGAGCTTGTAAAAAATACAAACGAGTGCTATTGTACACTCTGCTTCAATTGGTCTCTTCAGTTCATTTTGTTCCTATACTGCTTCATACCAGTGTTGTCGGTAGCGCACCGGTTCGATCTGCCCGCGGTACCGGGTCATACCAGTGTGATAAGTATCCTACCGGTGCGATCTGCCCACGCATATAAACCTTTTGGAGGGCCCAGTGCGCCACCGGAGTCGTACCGGTTTCAAGAAAATGTAGATGTCAAGAGGGTTCATCGTTTGACTTGATGTACCACGGATATAATCCTATTTGGTCTGCGATAGCAGCACTAACGTTGCTTCCTATCCCAGTAAAACTATATTACTATGCATCTTGTGGAAGCTTTACGCTCCTGGGTGATATCGACTGCAATGCTGTGGTGGTGAACTTGTACGCTGTACACTGAACCTGTTTACCTGAGGCATCGCAGAGAACGAGCATGCTCTTTGTAGTAAGATAAAGCAACCGCGAGTTTAGGCGCATGTAATGAGGTGAAGCGATTCTTTTGACGTTGCTGCCAACAATTAAGTAAAAGCTCACGCAGACTCCCAATACTGAGAAAGGCCTGAGCGGCAAGTTAGAACCTGCCGTTGTATGTATAGTGCAGCGCGCGCTCGTATGATATCGAGTGCAACAGTGTGGTGAACTTGTACGTTGTGCGAACCTGCTAATATACCTGCTTACAACAGTAGGCTCTTTGTATATGCTCGCAGTAATGTGGAGCAACAGTAAGTTTAGGTGCATGTAATGAGGGGAAGCGAGATCTTTTACAGTTAAGTAAAAGCTCGCGCATACTCCCAATACCTGAGCGTCAAGTTATAGCTTCACAGCCGCGTGGGATAGCTGCGGTCGTCGTCTCCGTACGCATTGACGGTGTCCGGGCCCTGATTTACCAGGTGGAGGAAAAAATACACCGTTTACAAGCCCAGCTCGAGCGTGCCGAGCACTTCGCTGGTCCAAGACCGTATCCGGCACGATGAGCTGGAGCTTGTCCTGGTGCCCCCCCCACCGCTCCCCCCCCCCCCCCCGCGCTGAATGTAATGTAATGGGTAGCAGTAGCTTTTAGTGGAAATATTAGCAAATTATGGATTCGGAACTATAGAGGAGCTGAATGAAACTAGGTTTAAGTGAATGAAACTTCTTCTGGCCAATACTTTATTCAAGTTGCTCTGAGTGTTTACTTAAATGCAAGGTTTTATATTGGGTGCTACCTACTTAAAGCTGCTTTAAACCCATACTTTATGCAAGCCATTTTTGAGTGGATACTTACTAACCAGTTTTATACTGATGGCTCTCAGTAATCATTCTCCAATATATTGGTATGTTACTTTTTGGCTATTCGTTGTAATATATACGGCTACTGGATAATAATAAGGACAGCCTACGCGCCCAGGTTTCCCAGGTTAGAAAAATACTCAGATTTCTGATTCTGCAGGTATTGTCCAGGTGATGCCCCAGGTTATATCCAGGTATATGAATTATGAGCGTTATCAGATGAAAGTAATTTAAACAAGGATGGTTAAATTACCAGAACAGTTAATGTCCAGGTTAAAAACCTGGAAAACTCATGTGCGTAGTACTTGAGGAAAAGTGAAAATGACGGCCTACAGGCTGTGTCGGATGCATTCTAGCCATTCATTTCTTGTTTCAGTGTCCAGGTAGTTTGCAGGTGTGAAAACCTGGAAAACTCATGTGTGCACTACTCGGAAAAAAGTCGAAGTGGCGTCGATTGGTATCGATCGGAACCACACGACATGATAATGGCTTCAAAACAATCATTGTGTACCCATCTACTCGTACAGGTTTCTTACAGGTTGCAAACAAAAGTTGTCCATGTATTATCCATAAGATGCACTTCTCGCTGCTGCTCACTGTCTAGCTACGCTTCATCGTGGTGATCTTGTGCAGCATTGCCCAACGCAGCTTGGTGACGCCACTGGGAGACACATCACTTGGCACTTCGCTGTCAACGCACGTCCACAATAGACGGCACGCAAACACCCCACAGCTATCGCTATCTGTCTGCTTCGGCTCCGTCACTTCGATGTCGCTGTAAGCTTCATCCTCAAGGGGGCCTGCAAGGAGCTCGCTTGCCATCTTCTTAAGCCGTTTCTTGTTTCTCTTCCCACCCATGCTGTCATACGTCTTCACTAGCCGCGCTTCACGGTCCACTACGATGCATCCCCAATGAACTCCACCAAAATTGACCGGCATAAATACAAAAGCATGCGCCTCAATACCACTAGCAACCTCGTCCAGCGACGTTGGTGCGAGTATGTGCTTCCCCATCTTACCCTTCTTAAGAGGAGGAACCATCACCGTCACGTTGTTCTTGTAAGTAGACAGAAACACGGTAAAAGCCCGCAAGGCGTTGTCGTTCAGCCAAGCGGAGTCTCTGAAGCAGAAAAGGTCTGCGTAGGTCAGGTCGAAGCCAAAGCCATGTAGCGGTGTGTATGGCCAACACTCGAGTACTTTGCCAAGTAACAGCCCAGGGGGGGGGGGTCCACTACGATACCTTTCACGTCTTGGCTTAGCCATGTGCAACACAGTACCGCATTCCGGCATGTAGCCTGCCAATTCCACAGCGACTGCATCGCTTCTAACTGCACCCGGGTAAATCTGCCAACTTTCTCAATGGCGGCCACGTAACCTTCCGTTTCGCGTGTCACCCCTCCATCACTGTCCAGCTCAATCTCCTCCCCTTTTGCCAAACCACCTCTCAGTTTAGCTAGAGCGTCTTCAACGACGGACTCCGGTAGTCGGAAGCGCACAACCTCGCAAATATATTCCGTGTCCGACATCCACTGGATTGATTTTCCGTCACCTTTCTTCTTTGTTTCATGCGAAGTCAAAAACGAGCTGAGCTCGCGGACACCTGGCTTAATCAATTCCAGCGTTGCTGCCACTTCCGTCACGTCCTTATCTCGTAGTAGAGCTCTGAGTTTCATTCCATTGTTGTATTCTTTCAGCGCCAATGCTGCCTTCTCCCTCATCTGAGCACGATTCAACCGTGGTCGACCGACACGCCTCTTGTTTGTCAGTCGAACCTTTGAGCCTTTGCCTGGCTGCACCGATTCCTGGGCGGAGGCTGTCACTTGTGTCGGGGGTTCGTCTTCGTCATCATCTGGTCCTTTTTCGTGAGCTGCATCCTCTCCACCAGAAGCACTAGGACGAGCATTCGTACCCCCCGTTCCTGGGCTACCTCCACCGACTCCGTGGCTATCACTGCTAATACTGTTGCCCCCGCCACCACTAGCGCCAACCCGATCGGGGCCCAAATCGTCGACGAAGTCTGCATCAGCTTGCACCAGCGGAAACTTCCCTTGACGTAAGTCGTACCACCACTTATCAATCTGCTTCATCGCAGACTCGAACACAGTGTCATCGCATCGGACAAGCTCGCTGCTGATTCGACCAAACGCCTGCTGCGAACGCCGATACTTCTCGACTTCACTCAAACTGCCAGCGCTCGCAGCTGGATGCCCTTTGTAGAGCTTAGCAACGAACGGATTTTCCACCTCCATCAAGTCCTGTTGCGAGATGCGATTCTGTCCAAACCACCTATTCATGCACATCAATAACAAAACATGGTTAAAACTTGGTCAATACATGGGTAAAACGAGATACCTGGATAACACCTGGTCAATACTCATAGAAAAACTGGACATACCTGGGCGAAATGGATGAGAATGGGATGATGAAGGGGCTTCCACACACTTTTCTGTAGACGATTGCATGTCTGCACGGAAGCTTCATAGTCTGCGAAAACTCGCAGTCGCACACCCAGCCTTCCTTCTCGAGGAGATACTCGTTCTCCTCGCTTTGTACGGTGATAGTAGCGCCATTGTCCTTGAAAGCGTAGGTATCGACAACCCCGGGGTTCGTAGCAATGTCAAATTGTGTCTTCAGAGCAAATGCTACCCACCTCGTGGTCATGCCCAGAGCGACGTTCAACTCCTCAGGGTACGAGGCGTCTCTCAGGGTACCCGGCATACCGACCTTGGACCGATAGGCTTCTTCTTTGCGGCGCTGATATTCCAGAAGCACCTCCAGACTAGCGCGCATAGTTAGATGGTCTTTCAGCTTTCGCTTCAGCTTACCGAATAGGCTCTCGACACGTTTATTCGTGTGATTGCCGAAGTGTGGCAAATCGACACGGTAAGCCATCACCCACATCTCTCGGCACGCATTCCAGTTCTTGTCGAAATACTCCCATAGCTCCACACGACCATTCCGCGAGGCCAGACTCTTGAACTCATCCCGATGCCGCACATAGTCTTCCTCAGTTCTGGAGTATGTCATGTTCGTGATGGTGTGCTTCATCTGCGTCAAAACTTCTGCTTCGTAGGCTCCATAGGTCTGCGATTTCTTGATGGTTTCATGAAGCCACTTGATGACATGAAAGTGGCAGAGAAGAATCCGCGCCTCCGGAAATTTCTTGCGAATCACATCGATCTCGCGCATGTCCTTGTCGACGATGACTATCCGCACGAACCGCCAGTGCTCATTTGCACGCTTGAAGTGGTCGAGACACTTTGACATGTGCCAATCGCCATTCGTTTCAATGAGGGAGTACTGCACCGGTTGCCCTTGGCCATATTGATCCATAGCTACAATCGTGAAAAGCTGGTAGTTGTATCTATCCACAATTGATATGAAAACATGGTTAATACCTGGTGTAAACCTGGATGATATGCATAACAAAGTCGGGGGACTCACTGATTTGTCTGATGCGTGCAGTCCATCTGCAGAACCTCGGGAAAGTTGTCTACCATCGCGCGCATGTGTCCACTGGTAAACGAGATAACACCAGTATCTCCTCGTTGGCTTTCGTGAACGGAAGCTACATTAGCGGGCGACTCTCCATTGAAGTTCAGGATCATCTCCGCAACCGCGTCGTCATCGGACAGTTCCACGCCTGCAGTCATAAGTAGTATAAGCATCAGCACACATATAATATAGACCAGCAGCATAACCACTTGCCTTGCGTCTTCATTCGCCTGATCATGCTTCGCACGTCGTCCATCGAGACGCGGTGGTTCGAGTTCTCCCTGATGTACTTGTACACGCTGGAAGTGCTGGCTTGGGCGTCGACCAGGAGATCGATTCCGGGCATGAGCGGAGACTCGGCAGGAACCTGGCGAATACCTGGGTAAGACCTGTAGATGTCGTCGGAAATGGGGTGGTTGTGGCTGTAGACTTCTCGCTTCATGACGATGCCCAACTTTCCATCTCGGCGAAGGACGACTTGTGCAAGCATCTGGAACGGACACTCAGTGCGGCGGAGCTTGTGCGACGTCCTCTTCCCCGTCGATCTCTCACGCTCCTTCCAGCCGTGTGTGTAGATGTACTTCCGCTGATAGGGCTCCCACTCGTCGGGCACGAGAGGAATTTCTGTGTCAGGAAGCCCTCGGAAGCGGACCTGCTTACGCAAGTCTGCGTTGCGGCGAGCCACGTTGATGACCTCCGCGATGACGATCTTCTGTCGCGTCGCATCCATGTACTCCTGTAGGCTGACATCAAGCAGGGGCCACGAGTCATGCTGGGCCTTGAACGCTAGAACGTGCACCAGGTCCTCGTCTTCAACGTCGGAAACGGTGCGCTTCTTCCCTTGGCGCTGCCCGCCCTTGGTAGCTCCTTTCTTCTTTTTCTTCTCCTGGGCGCCCTCTTCTTCATCTTCTTCAACCTCTTCATCTCCGTCTTCCTCTTCGTCTGCATCTTCGGCGTCTTCTTCCTCTTCTTCTGCGACATCTTCTTCCTCTTCAGCCGCTTTCTCCTCTTCATCGCCAGTGGATGAGTCGCCTTCTGCAGTGGCATGAGGGCCGAACTGCGTGGCCCGTGAGTCGCGGGCATCCTGAAGCGCCTGTGATCGCTGCGATCTGGTGCGCGCGCTGGTCACCTTCCTGCGTGCCTCCTCCTCCTGCCGCGCCCGCTCGGCCATCTGCGCCTTGATATGGGCCGTCTTGGGGGTGCGCGCCATGATGCTGGGGTCTCCAGGGCCGAGCAGCCGCCGCACGTCGAATGCCACGTGGCTGGAGCTGGCCCCCTCGAATTGGTGGCTGTGAGGCAAAAGCTGAAATGACGGTAATAAAAAACGGGATAAATTATCCCTGGACAATACCTGTCGCCAGACCTGAATAATACCTGTTTTGCAAAACCTGGGCTAGTAGCTTGCCGTAATAATAATGTTACAAAAGCAACATTTTGGGGATTATTTCAAAATTACGGGCGTAATTAAGAGAAGGCCGCCCACCTGCATTGCGCTACCTATATCTCGCAGGTGAGCGGCCTTGGGAGGGTGTCGTCGCTCCAGATGCGTGAATATGCCCCCTGTATTCCGCAACGTTATTCGTCGTGGAGTGAGTCATTCATGTGCACATTGTACTTGGTGCTGATTGACCACTACTGGAAAACTTAAATACGAACTTGCCGCTGGAGATGCTCGAACACCAATTCGTGCTCAAATGCGATTTATAGATATAGTTAAGCAGTATTCGATAAGTCGTACGAGCTACAATGTACTCACTCATTCGTAGCCGTGATGGTACTCCTCGACATCATCTTCATCACAATTTTCGCCATCTAAGGGATCCACATCTGCTATTGCGGAGGTCGTAAGAGGCCCACAGCGTGTGGTACCTTTGGATTGAGGTGGGGCGCCTCGAAGTGACTTACTGAAGTCGCACAAACTGCCAACAAGTCTGCAAATACTATGAACTTATAATGCGCCAGAGCTCTCATAAAGGAATCGCTCACAAAGTGGCCTGCACTTATAGCGCTTCTTATCGCTTCCTAAACAGGAGAAAACAGCAGATAGTAAACGCGAGGCTCACACTGCTCCTCGCTCGTCATAAGATGCCCCCGGGCTCAGCGAAAGCGCTGTCGTTAGATGAAACCAACTTGGAGATGACTTCACGCAGTCCGCAGTGCACCCAACGCCTCATCAGACAGAGAAGTACTACTACCGTACTGCTAGGGTGAATGTCCTAGCTAAAAATTTCTATCCCAGCCGAAGCATAGCCCCACTGTGGCGACAAGAATGCGAATACAACTTCAATTTTCCATCAACTTACACTTCTTCTTTGCGTGGGGGTAGTGGACCCTCACTTTCGTCTTCGTCATGGTCGGCCATGTCGCGATTTACAGGCACTTGCAGCGACAAGAAGAGAAAGGCTAGCACCTGCAAACTCACGGCAATGAGAGCGAGCGCGGTAACGTCGTAATACCGGTTGGCATAGTCCATGCCGAGAGTCTTGAGGTATACCTCACCGTAGACAGGAACTGCCGGGTATCCGGGAGCGTCGAACTTCAAAATCAAGCCTTTCAGCTCGTTGGTCATGAGGATTTCGAACGCGTAGCTGAAGATTGATAGGTGCTTGAGCCACCCCACAGACGTTGGCATGGTCTGCGAGTTGAGAAGGAACCCGCCAAACAGCAGCATGACTAGCAGAACAACGGTCGCTCCGAGGTTTGCGGGCCCAACACGTCTTGAAAGCACGCCAACCAGGAGGCAAATAGCACCGGCCGCCACGTTGAAGAGCACCAACGTGAGCGAGAACAATAGGAACCGCTCCGTTTTGGCTTGCAGTCCCATGATCCAGTAGAAGATGCTCGCAAAGAGCGAAGCAGGTAGCACCCGCAACAACATCGTGTCCAGGGTGGCCTTGGCAAGGAAGTAGCTGAACGCCCCATAATACATAGCCCCGGTCTCGCGAAGGAAAATGGGTCGCTCGCCAATGAACAGGTCCATGGAGCTCATGCTCGCGAATCCAAAGAAAGTCAGGATGAAGTAAAATGCGCCCATGCGGTTCTGGAACCCAGCGAGGTCGTTGGTCACGTGGTTGAAGATCAGCCCGCCAAACAAAGCCAGCGACAAGCTCAGCGCAATGTGCAGAACAAGCAGCGATCGGTGACGGAGGATGTTCTGCGCCGTTCGCACAAAGAGTACTCGAATCTCAATGAGCATCGATCGGGGAGAGGTCTCGGTCTCAGCCATAAAAAGCGGTGGTGGGCTGCGTGGCGTGCCAGGCGTAGTTGGTATCCCCAACGTGCTCGGCTCCTTGGGTGTCCCTGCACTCACCGGCGACGCTAACATGTTGTCCATGCGCGGCGTGTCAAGAGACACCTCCTCCTTCATGAACGGTGAAGACTCCGCCCTCGGCGTCGGGCTGCCGATGGTGAATAGCGGGGTGATGTTTTGCAATCGAATCCGCGAACTTGACGCCATTGGTGCAGGTTTTGAAGAGAGGGGAGAAGGTTCACGCTTCATGTGTGACCGGATCATTGGGATGTTGTTTTTGTCAGACGCGATGTCTAGAATGAAGTCCGCTATGTTCTCGTGCTGTAGACACACGTACGACATCCCCGCAGTTAGATAATCTAACGTGAACATCAACGCTCGGAGGGAAATACAACACCAATACATACCTCTGGACACTTGAAACCCAGATCTTGGAAGTAACTCTTGGATTCAGCAGGAGCCCCACTATACAGCAGTTTCCCCTTTCCAAGCAGCATGATTTTGTCGAGTAACACGAAAGAGCGCGCGCTGGGCTGATGAATGCTAAGCACGACGATCCGCCCGTGACCTGCCAGATCCTTCACGAGCTGCACTACCGAGTGAGCTGAAGAGCTGTCGAGCCCAGACGTGGGCTCGTCCAGAATAAGGATCTGCGGCGATGTTACAAGCTCCATGCCGATGCTCACGCGTCTCCTCTCACCGCCAGACACACCGCGTCGTCCACTGCTTCCTCCGACCGAGCCAATGCGCGAGTTCGCGACGTGAGTAAGGTTGAGTTCTGCGATGACACGATCCACCATCGCATTCTTCACTCGATCCGACAGTGTCGGAGGAAGACGGAGCTGGGCCGAGTACGAAATACACTCGCGCACAGTGAGCGTCGAGTACAACGAGTCGTCCTGCTGCACGTAGGCAGCAATCCGGCGGTATTCCTTCGGTAGCTGCTTGCCATCCAGCAAGATCTCGCCAGCGAACTGCGACCGGCCGTTCTCCACCGCTGCCAGGGCGTTCAACAGCGTCGTTTTGCCCGAGCCACTCGGGCCCAGCAGACCGAGCACCTGGCCGCGCGATACGCTGCCCGAAATCTTGTGCAGAATGCGCTTGGGCTCATCGCCAGCCGTCGTCGTCGACGACTCCCCGCTACTGTCCGCGTAGCAGCTCAGATGACGGAACTCGAGCACATTTGCCGATCGCGACGTGAACTTGAGGATCTCCGTCTCCACGTCCTCCTTCTGGCCGCGGCGGATGCTCGCAGTCAGGCAGCAGGAGCACGCGCATCCGCACAGCAGCAGCGTCGCCGCCACAGCTGCGCACGCGACAATGGCGACCCACAGGCCGCTGATCCCCCCGGAGCCTCCGCCGGAGCTGCCGCTCCCCGAGGCGCTACTGCTGCCTCCCCCAGTGCGCTCGCACGCCGACGCCGTGCACGTGGCCGACAGCGGGATGGGTGAGCCCTCGATGACGATGGCCAGCTGCGTCGCGTTGGTGACCTCGATCTTGGCGGGCTTGCCGCTCAGCGTGCTCTCCACGAGCGCCTTGGTCATGGCCGAGCACTGCGGGCCGCACTTGCAGTCGATCTGCGCGCACTGGCCGTCGGCGTCGCCCGAGGCGAAGGCGCACTGCGTGATGTTGCAGTCAATGACGTGCACGCTGTTCACCGTCTCCTTGGCCTTGAACACGGCGGCCGTGCAGTTGGCCACGCCCTGCGCGTCGCGGTCGCAGCGCACGTCCATCGCGCCGTCCGGGAAGAGCGCCTGCAGGTCCGAGGACAGCGAGCAGCCGTACGTCTTGAGCGTCGCGTGCGCGTCGTAGCGGAGCCCCGTGACGCACGAGTAGTCGGGCCCGAAGGCGGCGCCGCACACGTCGGAGGCCGCGGCGTCCAGCGCGCCGCTGGCCGTGCACATGCGGCAGCCGAAGCCGCTGAAGCCCTCGCGGCAGTCGCAGCGGCCCGTGGTGGCGTTGCGCCGCTCGTAGTGCGGATCGCAGGGCGTGCCGCTGCTGGCGGTGGCGGAGGAGGAGAGCGACGAGGAAGACGAGGAGGCGACGGAGCCCCACGGCAGCAGAGCCGCCGCCAGCGCCGCTAGCAGCGAGGAGCGCATCGCGGAGCAGGGTCAGGCAGGGTCGGGGCCGGAATTGGGAGTGAGCCCAAGTGACCGACGTCAGTGTCGCGAGCATAGACCGACCAGGATTAGATAGCGCAGATTCCTTCAACCTACTCGACCCATACAAATCGCTATTACAGCGTGACCGGCAAACTGGCGAAAATCTGGTCGCGGTGATCAAGGTCCGCAACTTGCGGGCCGCAAGCAGCGCTCTGCAGTGGCTGCGAGAGCGCGAGCGGGGTCGAGCGAGGCTCAGTGAACCTCTGGTAGTAAAATGGTTAACCCAACACGCAGAGTGGTGGAGTTTCGGCGACGTCACCGGGCGACAGACTGAAGGCCATCGGCAGGGGTGGGCTGGACGCTTTCTCTGGTCCAACGAGGCTGGTTCTCTGGTAGAGAACCTCTACCGTACCGCGAAGAGGGAGAATCCTACTTGGCTTGTTACCTGGAGCTACGAGTCGTAGCTGTCGTAGCCTACGACACACAAGGGTGAAGCTTAAAAATGAGAGCGTCGCGCGTGCCGATCCAGTCTGACGTTTGGTGCGAAGCAGGTTGTCCATATTGTGAGTCTTTGCTCACAGATGCCGGTGCGTATGATGAAATGCTCAATGTGTATTCCGACCATCACGACCAGCTTTGCCAGCTTAGTATCACGAGCAGGAGGCGATTCGCAGAGACTTGGGACCGGAGGTCGTTTGACGCGCTTGATGTTGGAGCCGGTGAAATGAAATGGCGTTGAGTGTGCGGAACGTCGGCTGGCACGAATATCACACAAGTCCGTGAGCTGCCTCAGCAAGCAGTCCGCAAGAACTAGAACCCTTATAAGTCCCTTATAAGGGGTTCGAGTCCTTATTAAGGGGGCGAAGTTGACGCGTGCGGCGAGAGTGTTGTTCGTGGATTGCGCCGCCAGTCCAAGAGCCAATCACAAGCAGCGAGCCAATCACAAGCAGCAATCTCGCGGTTACCTGCACTGGCCGTTTACTCACGTGAGCGGGGCGTACCGCACCCGGACTTGGGGCCAGTTGCCTTTCGCCTCACTCGCCGACTTGCCAAGCAGCGCCCAAGCAAACGCCACCCCAAGCGTCACTCAACCCCCCAAGCTCGACTCGCCAGCCTCGCGCCACCACGACCATGGCCGCACCATCGGAAGCACCAGCCAGCGACCCGTCCCCGCCCTATGTTGAAGTGCACACGCCGCGACTATCGCAAGCGGGCGCCGCGGCGACGAAGCTCCTCACCGACGAAGATGCTGCTTCTACTACTTCTGCAGCCACGGCACCGTCCAGGAAGCAGGTGCCGCTGCTGGAGCTCTTCTGCTTCGCCGACTCGACGGACAAGCTGCTCATGGCTGTGGGCACGCTCGGGGCGATCTGCGCCGGCGCGCTGCGGCCCGTGATGGTCCTGCTCTTCGGCAGCCTCATCAACTCCTTCGGCTCCACCAGTGAGGCGGGCGGCGGGCCGAGCGACATCTCGCCCAGCGTGAACCGAGTCGCGCGCAACCTCACCATCGTGGGTGCGGTCGGGCTGGCCACGGCCTACCTGCAGGTCTACTGCTGGACGGTCACGGCCTCGCGCCAGTCCAAGCGCATCCGCAGCCTCTACGTCAACGCCATCGTCACCAAGGAGATCGCCTGGTTCGACGTGAACGAGCCCATGCAGCTGTCGTCCCGCGTCGCCGACGCCACCGTCACGATCCAGGACGGCATCGGGTCCAAGATGAGCGACATGCTGCACTTCACGTCCACGGTGGTCTCGGGCATTGTCATCGCGTTCATCAAGGGCTGGGAGCTCGCGCTGATCCTGCTGGCTGTGGTGCCGTTCGTCGCCACAAGCGGCATGCTGGCCAAGAAGGTCATTGTTGCGGCCACGCACAGCGGCATGCAGTCGTACGCGGAGGCCGGAGCTGTGGCACAGGAGTCGCTCAGCAACATCCGCACAGTGCACATGTTCAACTCGGTGCCGCACTTCGTAGACAAGTACAGTCGAGCGCTGGAAGGCGCCACAAGCGCAGGGATCAAGAAGGCCTTCGCTGTCGGTTGGGGCAGCGGGCTCACGTACATGATGGTCTTCCTCAACTACGCGCTGGGCTTCTTCATCGGGGCTGTCTTCATCGCGCGCGACAACCTGGGCGACAGCACGTGCACTGGCTCGGGCTGCTACAATGGCGGGAGAGTTCTCACGGTGTTTTTCACCGTCATGCAAGGTGCGATGGCCTTGGGCCAGGCCGGACCCAACCTCCAAGCGGTCTACTCGGCTTGCGCTGCTGCGTACGACGTGTTCGAGCTGATCAAGCGGCCGTCGCTGATCGACCCCACCAATGACGACGAAGGCAAGAAGCTCCAGACCGTCTCCGGCAACATCGACATCGACGATGTGCGCTTCGCGTACCCGTCTCGCCCCGAGGTGGACGTGTGCCGAGGCTACTCGCTCCAGATCAAGGCCGGCGAGACGGTGGCGCTGGTCGGCCCGAGCGGCAGCGGCAAGAGCACGGTGGTCTCGTTGCTGGAGCGCTTCTACGACCCGCTCGAAGGCTCCGTGAAGATCGACGGGGAGGACGTTCGCTCGCTGAACGTCAAGTGGCTGCGGCAGCAGATCGGACTGGTGGGGCAGGAGCCTGTGCTCTTCGCGACGACCATCATGGAGAACATTCGCCACGGCCGACCTGCCGCGTCGGACAGCGAGGTCGTGGAGGCCGCCAAGATGGCGAACGCCTTCAGTTTTATCATGGAGTTCCCCGAGGGCTTCGCCACAGAGGTGGGCGAGCGCGGCGCACAGCTATCTGGAGGTCAGAAGCAGCGTATCGCCATCGCGCGCGCGATCATCAAGAACCCGCCGATCCTGTTGCTGGATGAGGCGACGAGCGCCCTCGACACGGAGAGCGAGCGGATCGTCCAGGCGTCTCTGGACCAGTTGGTGGCGGGGTTGAACCGCACGACGATCATTGTGGCGCACCGCTTGTCGACGATTCGGGACGCGGACCGCATTGCGGTGCACAGCGGCGGTCGCATCGTGGAGCTTGGCTCTCACGAGGAGCTGCTGCGTATCCCGAATGGCCACTACCGACGTTTGCTGGAGGCTCAGACGCAAGCAGCCACTGAAGGTGACACGACCGAATCCACTCCAGTTATGGATGGAGCAGCGTCAACAGATCTCAATCACGAGGATTCTCATTTGGTTCGATCTACCAGGGCCTCCAGCAAGTCGAGCGCGTTGGAATTGGGCGACTACAATGGAAGCGATGCCAGCGAATGCGAATGCGATAATGTGGACACTTCAGCAGTGTCGTCACTGCGCATCTGGAAGATGGGGCTGCCCGAGTGGAAGTTTATGGCGTTGGGTGGAATTTCTTCCGTGTTCAAGGGCTCTGTTTACCCGCTCGCGGGTATGTTCATCGCCAAGATCATCCACCTATACTTTGAGCTCCAGAAGACGAAGCACGAAATGCTCCACGACATGCGCTATTACTCGTTGGCTCTCGGGTGCCTCGCTGTTGTTTGCGGTTCGTCTTTCACGCTGACCGAGTATTGGTTCGGCATCGCTTCGAGTCGGTTGATCAGTCGAGTTCGTTTGGAGGCGTACAGCGGTATGATGCGTCAGGAAGTCGGGTGGTTTGATCTCAAGGAGAACTCGTCGGGCTCCCTCGTCTCTCGGCTGGCTACCGATTCGGCTATTCTCCAGTCCATGACGTCGGATTTCCTCAACCGCAGCCTAATGACTGGGACGACCTTCATCATCATCTTCGCGATCGCGTTCTACTACAGCTGGCAGATGACTCTCATCATGATCGCCACGACCCCGTTCCTCGTCGGTGTCAACCGCGTACGCTTGCAGCACATGGCCGGCCAAATGAACGCAAAGAAGAACAACGACGCGGATACCGCAGCGGCGTCTCTGCTTTCTGAGGCGATTGATTCAATCCGCACGGTCGCGTCGTTCGGAATGGAGAAGGCTCTGGTGGCTCAGTACACGTCGTTCCTGAACGTGTCGAATGAGCAAGACAAGAAGGTGGGCGTCTCCGGAGGTGTATCGTTTGGTCTATCGCAGGCGATGACGTTCTGGGTCCTCGCCTTTGTCTTCTACATCGGTGGCATCTGGGTCTCTCACGGTACGATCTCCTTCGAAGACCTTCTCGTTGTTCTCATGGTCTTCATGATGGGGTCGTTCAGTGTCAGTATGGCCTCGCAAGGATCCGTGGACGGGGAAAAGGCCAAGCGAGCCGTCGCCAACGTCTTCAACATCATTGACCGCGTGCCGGAGATCGACGCCACTTCGACCGCAGGGACCGTGCTGCCCCGTATCCAAGGCGACATCGACTTCAAGCAGCTCACCTTCGCGTACCCGTCTCGACCGCACGCCGCCATCTACCAGGGCTACGACCTGTCGGTTCGACGCGGCCAGACTGTGGCGCTGGTGGGGGCGAGCGGCAGCGGCAAGAGCACGGCGATCGCGCTGCTGGAGCGCTTCTACGACCCGTCGTCGGGGGCGGTGACGCTGGATGGCCACGACGTGCGCAGTCTGAGCTTGCCGTGGCTGCGCGACCGCATCTCGCTGGTGAGCCAGGAGCCGGTGCTGTTCTCGGGGACGATCGCGGACAACATCGCTCTGGGCAAGCCGGGTGCGAGTCGCGCGGAGGTGGAGGCGGCGGCGAGGAGCGCCAACGCCTTCGACTTCATCTCCAACTTCCCGCGGGGTTTCGACACGGAGGTTGGCGACCGCGGCGCACAGGTGTCGGGCGGCCAGAAGCAGCGCATCGCCATTGCACGCGCTATTTTGCGCGACCCGGACGTGCTGTTGCTGGACGAGGCGACGAGTGCGCTGGACAATGAGAGCGAGCAGGTCGTGCAGGCGTCGCTGGACGCGCTGATGGCGCAGAAGCGGCGGACGACGATTGTGGTGGCGCACCGGTTGTCGACGATCCGGAAGGCGGACGTGATCGCGGTGACTCGTGACGGCGCGATAGTGGAGCGAGGTAGTCACGAGGAGCTGATGCGGGTGACGGGCGGCGTCTACCGCGGGATGGTGGAGCTGCAGTCGATGACAGTGTCGTAGGTTACTGTCATCAGGATCTATATTTTCTACACGATATGATGTAGAGTTTACTAGAAATCGTGACTACCGCAAGAACGTCTCCTATTGAAAATGCACTTTAATTTGTTTGAGTTCGCTGTCACTTAGCTTACTGAATGAGCCTGTTCCACTACAGCTAGGTTGGTGGAACTCAATGATTTCTGGGCGTTCTTGTTGGATTACCTTAGAATGTGGGTGGGCTTCGTTGCTGCTTTCGCCCACCGGATTGCTGGATGCCGATCGATAGGCTAGAGCATTTGAGAAAACTCCGCCGACCACGCACTTCACTTCACTCAACAACCTCGCCGCATTTGCTCAGAATGGCCGCGAAGAGGAAGGCGTGACCTGTGTTTTGGGTCTAAAACCACGAGTAGCACGTGTAGGTAAACCATCCCAGAAAGTTGCACTGGTGCCCCTCTTTCTCGAACAAAGCACTGCCACTTGAATTGATCGAGCCCGAGTCGACTTCAGCACGCAGTCTGCGCGGAAGCGCCGGCGCCGAGCTCCATCGCGGTGGGGCCAGCACAGACGAGTTGGAGGACGTTGACAACGAGAACGCTTGCGAGGAGCAGCTTATTGGCCATCTTGAGCTGGGGTGGTGAGGTTGTTGAGTGCAGTGCGCGGCCAGTGGAGAATTCGCAAATGCACTCGAGCTCGAACGCTACCAAGGCGGAGATGCATATCCATTTTTTTTACTTACACATCCATTCTATACAATCCAATCCCAGAGCGTAACAACGAGAAACCACCCACATTCTACGGCCACATCCAATGAGTAAAAGAAAAGCTCCAAGTTCTTGGCGTGCCAAACACTAACAGACCCAGTGACGACGAAAAGGGAACGCGGACGCCAGCTAGCAGTTGTGGCCCCAACACATCGCGACCACATAAGGTTTGTCCATTTCGTCAATTCGAGTCTGCCCTCCGAAATACAACGGGGCTGCTTCTCGTAACTCCACCACGGCGTACTCCGGTATTCCAACACCCCGCTTTAGTTTGCACCCGCACACGAGTAGATGCCAAACCACCCACACATCTGCGGTAAAGCTTCGCACAGCGCTCCATCTCATGCTTAGCGGCTGCGACTGCGACTACGAGGCCCAGACTGAGGGGGCTGAGGAGACCTGTCCAAACCATAAATCAAGCAAGACATACACAGGTCATTGAAGGCCACGACCAAACCTCTTTGACATACAAATTCGTACCAGCTGCGGTCGTTGCGCGGGCCCCGACGCGATCCGTGGCGCGACGACGACATCTCAGGACGACTGTAGCGACGGTACTCCTGCGGGGACTTGTCCATCCCCCGGCCCGAGTACTCGCGCGGCTCGCCCCGCGAGCGCGACTCGTAGTATCCAGACTGCTGCGAACGCGGCTGGAACTCGTTCACCTCATCCGGGCGGCCGTACGCGCGCTCACCGCCGTAGTCCCGCGAGCGCTCGCGCATGCCGGTGGCTTCCTCGCCTCTCCGCAGGCTGCTGCTGCTACAGTGACGACGGTAACGCGGCGGGGAGCCGCTCCGTCCGCGCTCCTCCGGGTCCTCGCGGCTGTGCCGAGACGAGTGGGGACGACTCGAGCGGTGGTGGTGGTGGCGCCGGTGGCCCGCGTCCTCGAACTCGTCTTCATATCTGCTGGACACGTGGTCCCTCCGCCCGGACTGCGAGTCGAACGAGTCGTAGCGCGCGCGACTGCCCCCGCCACGCTCCTCGTCCTCGTATCCATTGCCGTCGAAGCTGCCGCGGTTCATGCGACGCGGTCCGTCACCCTTGTTCCTACCCACCACAAACAAAGACAACAGTCAGCTCACACACCAGTAAAGCAAGCGCGCTCACACCAAGGAGCCACGTACTTGCGGAAGTTGTAGTCGGTGCGCAGGTGCTGGCCCGCCACGATAATCGTGGCGCTGTGGGCCTTCTGGGCCGAGGCCACGTCCGAGAAGTCCACGAAGGCGGACATGGGCGCGTCGGGCCGCGCCTGGGGCAGCACCTTGACGTTCTTGACCTCTCCGAACTGGGCGAAGGCCTGGTCCAGCTCGCTCATCTTGATGTGCGGCGGGATGTTGGCCACGAACAGGTTGGGCGACGCGTTCACGGGGAAGCGCGGGCTGTGCAGCAGCGGCGGCTGCTGCTGCTGGGGCTGGCCGGCGGGGGCCTGCAGGGGCGGCGGCGGGCCGTCGTAGCGGCGCTGCGTGCCGTGCGACACGGCGAATGCCACGCGCAGGCGGCGGCCGCCCAGCTCCTTGTCGTTCATCTCCTGCACCGCCAGCTCCGCGTCCTCCAGCTGCTCGTAGTGCACGAACGCGTAGCCTTTCTTGACGGCGCACTGCTCGATGGGTCCGAACTGCAGGGACGAAGGGGAAGACGAAGAGGAGGCTGAGTTAGAGGGGGGTATACAGAGGCTGGAGAGGGAAGGCTGCTGCCCTGCGTACCTTGCCGAACTCGGCCTCGACGTCGCGCTGCGTGAGCTCGTAGAAGAGGTTGCCCACGTAGAGCTTGGTCGATGCCATCGGGCCCTCCTCCACGTAGAGCTTGGTCGATGCCATCGGGCCCTCCTCCATGGCTGCCTGTAACGGAGGATTAGGATTAGATTAAGCTTGGATGGATCTTGACTTTTGGTTTTCGGCGAATCGGTGGTCGCCGCGACTTTTCATTCGCTGAAAGGCGCTTGGGCGAATCACAGCGCGGCAAGTGTGTAGCCATGAGCCACGAAAGGACACGATCAAAACTTGTCAAACGTGGCGGAGGAGAGGATATCATCTCGTCTAGTCGAAGTGGTAAACGCTCTTGTTGTTATATCAAACAGTTCAATGCAACGTCGAGTGGAACTTCTTGTTGGTCTGGGCTAGATCTTGCAGCGGCGTATGTGCGAACCGCTCGCCGTACTGGTCCGCGTACCGCTACAGTAGATCATCTCCGTGAACTTAGTGCATCCACCTTGGATACTTTCCCTCTCGTTGATATGTTACGGTTCGAGCAAATATGGAGCCGCAGTCTATTGAATTCAGATTTGAAGGTCTTTCCGCTGTCTGGTGAGCATTTTCCATGTCCAAAGCTGAAAGGCACTTCGATGAACAAACAGGGATAACAGCGTTTTCAGCGAATATCTGCATCGAGGGGTAAGCCTGTTTCGCGCATTTGTGCGGAGAGCTTCGCTTGGAGCGGGACTTGGACTGTATACTTAAAGCTCGCAGTTCGTAAGAACTGTGCTTGCCACCCCAGGCGAGTTTGTCATCAAACGACATTAAGCAACCTTCACGCTACACCAGGCAACATTAGTCTTAAGGTACACAAGTTGCGCACAACCCAGTCAGATTTCTCATCGTGCGGAGGCAGGCAAGCCATGCATACTGCTATTGCAGTCAAAAGAGTGGTTGATGGACCGCAATAACTACTAAATGTATGTAAAGCGTACTGCAATAGCAACTACAAAAAACACCGAACTGCAAATCAAGCGGCTTCTAAAGCTCGCGAACCAGTAGTTTGTCTAGAATCGCCAGGAATTTGTCAGCTGATGTTGTCGTGAACGCTCTGACCTGAGCGTTTTGATTCGTGGTGTTGGGGTTGTCCTCTGTGCACCATCATTCGACTACCCGATCTACTATCGAGCTTTGGGTCGATGGAGCAGTGAGGTGTCTTGAGACAAACGGGGTATTCGTTCCCGACATGGAGTTTTCCGCGGCTTGCGCTTCGGGTCAAGCCGGATGACAGAATCGGCGTGACCTGCGACGGCAGATGAACGGAGTGAGAACGGCGAGTTGGCGATTAGCCTGGAGGTGAATGCAGTTCCGCAGCAAGAACCCCTTTTCACTAATTTCAGTTTCTGCAAAAGTGTAGCCAACTTGGATCTTGAGCACGAAGCGACGCGACCGCCGGAGTGCACAACCGACTCGGTGGCAGTGAGTAGCGTGAGCACGCGACGAGCATCATGAGCGACAGCGCCCTGGAGTTCACAGCGGAGGAGAGCGACTGGGTTTTCGACTATGTGCTGAACCTGTTCCGCTCGCCGGCGTGGGAGCTGCCGGTCATGTGCTTCATCGATGACAACTGCGCCAGCTTCGACACGGGCGAGGAGAACAAGTTCATCTACACGGAGCTGCACACGCAGTTCCGCGAGTTGGTGGAGAACGTGCTGGGCTCGCACCTGGCCGAGATGGGGCTCACGGCCGCGGACTTTGCGTCTATCTGCGAGAAGCAGCGGGACAGCGAGCGAGCGGCGGGCGTATCCGTGTCCGACGGTGTGAGTGCTGACGTGGTGAACCAGATCCTAGCCATGGACGACTTCCTGAGCTTCAAGAAGCTCATGGTCAAGCGCAACTTGGAGCTGGAGCTTGAGGCCATCAAGGAGCTGCGTGAGGAGGTGACGGAGGACGAGCACGACCTCGAGGCGCAGTTCATGGAGCTCAGCGTGCTGTACAAGCAGGAGGAGATGGAGCAGGCGGAACTCGAGGCCGCGCTCGCCATGTCCATGAGTGTGCAGAGTGAGCAGCTTCGGCTCGCTTCGGTGGCTGCTAAGGTTGCGGAGGACAAGTACGCGAGCGCTGCGTCCGAGACGCGGCAGCTGTCGCCCGCCGAGGTGCAGCAGCAGATTCGCGAGAGCAAGAAGAAGGCCGAGGAGATCTGCAAGAAGAACAAGGAGTCGCTCGAGGAGAATCGCAACAAGCAGCGCGAGTGGCAGCAGGCAGCCGAGATCTCGGAGGAAGAGCTCAAGCGCCGTGAAGAGTATCTCCGCAAGCAGCGCGACCGCATTATTGAGAAGAAGAAACGCGAGCGCGAGGCGCAGTTGAAGGAATACCAGCAGGAGCAGAAGGCCACAGCTCCAGAGCCACCGGCGCAGCTCGTTGAGAAGCTGCAGAGCAACACTTCGGAGGAAGCCAAGAAGGCGGAGGAGGAAGAACGCCGGAATGCGTTGCGCATTGCTTTGGCCCGCCGGATGAAGCAGGATCTACTGGAGTCAGCTAACGCGGCAGCCTCCGAGCCCAGTCGCTCCGGAAGCTTCAAAGTGCACCAGGTACGCAGCAATACCTAGCAGACTTGAGGGCTTATGGTCAGTCTAACTCACTGCCAACCTTAACGTTTTGAAGGTGGTTGAACTGGATGAGAAGCTGCAGCGCGTGGAGGACCTACGTCGTCAGAGCCAGGAGCGTGAGAACAAGGTTCAGGCTAAGCTGGTACGTTGTCGATCTTGCATGATTTCAGGAAGGACAAGAGATAACCCCTGCCTGTTTCCTCCTGCATCAGAGAGCTGGTGTCTCCTCTTGAACGAAACGTGGCGCAATACCATCAGTGCAACGGCAACGTTGACGGCGATCCAAACCTCCGAAACATTAAATGGAATGTGCATGTCATTCTGCATTCAACGCATTTGCTTCTGCTCTGCTTTCGAGATTATTATCAACGCCGCAGCCTATATAATCCAAGTCAATCCTACTTCGAGTGGAACTTCTTGTTGGTCTTGGCCATGTCTTGCAGCAGCGGTGCGGGCGCGAACTGCTCGCCGTACTGGTCCGCGTAGCGCTGCATCATCTCCGTGAACTTGGTGCTGCCCACCTTGTCCACGTAGCGGAACGGGCCGCCGATGAAAGGCGGGAAGCCGATGCCGAACACGGCTCCGATGTCGCCCTCCGTCGGCGACTCGATGATGTCGTCCTGCACGCAGAGGACGGCCTCGTTCACGAAGCGCGAGATGAGGCGGTTGACCGTGTCCTCGTCGCTGAGCTTGAGATCGGTCTTCTGGAACTTCTTGACCAGGTTCATGGCGTCAGCGTTGATGGTCTTCTTGCCCTTCTTGCCCTTCGGAGGCTGCACGAAGAAGCCCTTGCCCGACTTCTTGCCCAGAAAGCCCTGGCCGATCATCTCTTCGAACAGCTTCGCGTCGCCGCCCTCCATGCGCACGCCCAGAGCCTTCGACAGCGTCTGGTTCACATGGTAGGCCACGTCCAGACCCACCTCGTCAGCCAGAGTGATGGGACCCACAGGCAAACCCCACTTGGTCATGAGCTTGTCGAGCTTCTCAGGCTCAACGCCGTCTCCGACCAGCGCCAGCGTCTCAGCAATGTAGGGTCCGAGGCAACGGTTCACGTAGAATCCGGGAACATCCTTCACCACGATAGCCGTCTTGCCCTGACGAAGTCCCAGGTCCACGGCCTTCGCAGCGGTGGCGTCGCTCGTGCCGGCATGGCGAATGATCTCCAGCAGCGGCATGCTCGGCACAGGCGAGAAGTAGTGCATGCCAATGACGTTCTCGGGACGCTTGCACGCCGACGCGATGTCCGCAATGGGCAGAGCCGACGTGTTTGTGGCGATCACACAGTCCTTCGACACGTAGTTCTCCAGGTCCGACAGCACCTTGTGCTTGAGCGCCAGGTCCTCGAAGACGGCCTCGATGGCGAGATCCGCCTTCTTGATGTGCGTCTTCCACACCTCGTCCTCATCAGACAGAGGCACCACGTTGGCCATGACGGCGTCGCGGTCGTAGATCGTCATGCGCTTGCGCTTCACCTTCTGGTCCAAGTTGTTGCGCACGTAGTCTTCGCCCTTGGCGGCAGCTGCGGCGTCGCGATCCTTCAGCAGCACGCGCACACCCTTCGCGGCCGACACCTGAGCGATACCCGCTCCCATGAGACCCGCGCCAACCACAGCCATGGTCTCAACAGGCTTCGCGGGCTTGCCGTAGCGGTTCTTCTTGAGCGCGGTCTGTCCGAAGAAGATGCTCATGAGTGCCTTGGCCTCGCTGGTCATGCCGAGCTTAGCGAAGTTGGCCGCCTCGACCTCCAGGCCCTTGGTTAGTCCCTGCTCCACTCCAGCCTGAGCAGCCTCCAAGATCAACTTGGGGGCGGGGTAGTGTCCTCCCGTCTTCTTCTCCACCATCTCCCCGGCCTTGTTGAACACAACCTGGCGCAGTGGGGTGTCCTCCAAGATGCGGTTGACGAGCCCCTTGCTCTTCTTCTTGGGCTTCAAGCTGCCCGCAGCCAGTTGCTGGGCCGCCGAGATGGCCGCGTTCTCCAGAGCGTACGGGTCGGCCACTTGGTTCACGAGCCCCATCTTCAGCGCCTTGTCCGGCTTGATGTTCTTGCCCGTGAGCATCATGTCCAGCGCCGCCTGGATGCCCACGAGCTTGGGCAGACGCTGGGTGCCTCCAGCGCCCGGCAGCAGCCCCAGCATCACCTCGGGCAGCGCCAGCTGCGTCTTCATGCTCTGCGAGGCCACGCGGTAGTGGCAGGCGAGCGCCACCTCGAGGCCTCCGCCCATGCAGGAGCCCTCGATGGCCGCCACGAATGGCTTCTTGGAGCTGGCCAGGCGGTTCATGAAGCTCTGGCCGGCGCTGGACATGGCGCGCATCTCCTCCTCTGTCTGGCATGCCTGCAGCTCGGCGATGTCGGCGCCGGCGATGAACACGCCCGGCTTGGCCGAGATGAGCACCACCGACTTGATGTTGGGGTCGCTCTCCACCGCGTCCAGCATGCTCGTCATCTCGGCCGTCATCTTGGACGAGATGGTGTTCACCTTGGCCGCCTTGTCGTCCAGCCGCACGATGGCCACGCCGTTGGGGCGCGTCTCCATCGTCAGGAACGCGCCCGAGCTGGCGGCGGCGCTGCTGTTGGACACCGCGCGCACGGACGCCATGCGCGCCGAGAGCGCGGCGCGACGCAGGATGGAGCTCGTCTGCAGCACCATCGCGCACGCAACAGAGAGAGGAAGGGACGAGAAGACGTTGCTTGCTTTGCTTGCGCGCTCGCCGCAGGATTCGAAAGTGCTGAAAGATCTGCCCCCAGGCACATGTACGCCCTTTGCCGAGGCTTCGACGGGATTCCGACGTGAAGTGAGGCATTTCAGCCAATGGGAGGACGAGGATAAGACCACTTCAACGTGGCTCTCTTGTGTGTAGCAACGTGAGGTTGTGCAGCTCTATTCCTCCTCTTTCTCTCTTTACTCCGTCTTGGGCTTCTGGAGCGAACTGAGCAGCGGCTGCTGGTACATGACCGGGATGGCGTTCTCCTCGGGGGCGACGCCGTCCTCGCCCGAGGACTCGTCGCTGGCCAGACATGTGGTGTCGCCGCCCAACGCCTCCAGAAACTGCCGCAGCTCCGAGAAGTACTTGTCGCCTCCGCGCAGCCACGAGTCGTTGTGCGTGCCGCCGGGCACGGGGTACCACACCGCGCGCTGGCTGGAGGTGGCGAGAGCGCGCAGCTGCTGCATGTGCGAGTGAGGCACCAGCTCGTCCTGCATGCCCGCGATGAAGAGGATCGGCTGCTTGATCTTCTGGATGCCCTTCGCGCTGTTCCAGTCCATCCGCAGCACGAGCGGCTTGACGTACGTCAGGAACGGCATCAGCACGTCCACAATGGCGGAAATGCTCAGGAACGTGTTCTCCAGAACGACGGCCGCCACCTGACAAGCAGCCAATCTGTGAGTGATACCACCGCCTCATTACAATGCGTTCTATCACACACGTACTTTAGAAGGCTCCTTCTCGGCGAGGTGGACAGACACAGCGCCACCCAGAGACCGGCCGAACACCACGAGCTTCGACGTGTCGATGTCCGTCCGAGCATATATGGCGTCCAACGCAGCCTGTCAGTCAGAGCATCCCAGAGCGCCATCCCACTCGTTCTCAATAACCACAACCTTGTGTCAAGCTCACTGCATCGCCACGCACCTCAGCATCTAGCTTCAGCCCTTGTTCAGTCGGTTCCCCTTCGCTGTGGCCAAACCCTCGGTAGTCCACCAGCAGCACGTTCACCCCGACCTTCCGGAACAGCTGCACGGCGTTCGGGAGACGGTAACCAATATCTACAGCACACCAGCACACGGTCAGAAGTCCGAACAGAGCAGCAATACATTGCTAAAGCTTGCGACGGACTCACTCCCGGCGTTGCCGTGGAAGAAGATGAGCGTCGGGCGGATGTTGTGGTCCTTCTGCTTCATGAGCCACGCGTTGATCCTCACGCCGTCCTTGCACGGGATCATCAGGTCCTCATAGTCGATCCCAAACTCCCCGGGGTGTCGGTATCCTGTTGGTTGGAGAGCACAAAGCGTCAGCCTTACAGGGCTGGACAAGCAGGGGATTGACCGGCCACTTGCGCACCGGGAGGGTTGTCCTCGGTGAACTTGGAGGCGCCAGGAATCGTCGGGAAGTAGAGCAGCCGCTCCTGGTACATGTACAGCAGGAAGAGCGCGCCCACGCAGAGCGTGCCGCCCGTGTAGACCGCGCCGAGCAGCCACGACGTGAAGCTGGAGCTCTCAGTCATCACGTCGGGCTCGGATTAGGATTGACTTGGCTCCAGTATACTTGGAATCACCGATGTGGTGGACATAATGTAGCCATCCAAGCTTGAAGTCAATGCAAGAAGTTTTGGTGCATTTGAGTTTAATTGTTTGGGAGGTCGGGCGACGAGATTTTGGACGGTATAAATCGGTGCAAAGGGGACAAATGAGGACCGTGAATGCAATAATCCTGCCGCCCGGCCCCACTCAGTTGACGCCCGCCGCTCTACAGGATGGAGCACTTCCAAGACCGCTTGTTGCCCTTGGGGTTCTGCTGGTTGGTGATCACACATCGAATGGCCTCATCGAACACCGACTTTAGACCCTTCTGCGTCAGCGCAGAGCACTCCATGTATTTGTACGCGCCCAGCTCGGTCTTGAGCGTCTCACCCTGAAGAAAATACCAAGCTGTTAGTTGAGCGTCTCCACCCTCTCACCTTCACTGGAGCCACGCACATCTTCCTTCGTAATCGGAGCTAGCTTCTTCTCCCGGAGCTTCTCGAGCGTATCCTCGTCGTCACGCAGATCCGACTTGGTTCCCACCAGAATAAAGGGCACGCCGGGGGCGTGGTGGCGGATCTCGGGCAGCCACTTGAGCTTGACGTTCTCAAATGAGGCGCGACTGCACAGCAAACCAAAATGCACATGGGTCAGCCCCACCACTGCCGCCATGTAATAATCCCCCTCCGGTAGCGCTAGTAGACGCCGCACCTGACGACTGAGAAGCAGATGAGGAAGACGTCCGTCTGCGGGTAGCTGAGCGGACGCAGCCGGTCGTAGTCTTCCTGGCCTGCCGTATCCCAGAGCCCCAAGTTGATCGGCCGGTTGTCCACCATCACATTGGCGCTGTAGTTGTCGAAGACCGTGGGGATGTACTCGCCCGGGAACGTGTTGGTCGTGTACGAGATGAGCACGCACGTCTTACCCACGGCGCCGTCGCTGGTGTCATGGGAGTTCACGCTGTCAGTGACCAGCCGCGCAGCCAGCCCAACAAGATACTTTACTTTATCTCTTTAGTACGCACCCGACGACGACACACTTCATGTTCTGCATGTTGGACATCTTGCGGCTGCTTGTAGTTTTGTAGCAGTGTTAGTGGCGGGCGGAGGTGAGGACGGCGGGGCCTGCGAGACGGAGGCCCAGGAGTGTTGTGAAGGGGCTGCGAGTGCCCCATGCAGCCGTTAGCCGTTGTGGCGCGTTCCAGCTTGAATTCAGAGCCAAAAATAGAAGCGAAAGCCGCATACTGAAACCAAGTCAAGTGCCACTACGTTCGGACGACCAGCAAGCGGTCATGGCCAGGAAGCGCTGGGCGGAAGCAGGAATATGCACCTGGCGACTGGGGTCAGTTTGGTTTCGGTGGACGGCGCACGCATGTGGGTAGACCACCAGTGAGGACAAGAACAAGAAAAGAGGGAGCGCACTTTCACCTCTTGTGGTTCCAATCTACTTGCTACTCGGTGTCTAGCGCACTTCATTAAACTTGATCTCTGCAGACATCAGAGACAAGGTCACAGCAAGTCAGAGAACGCTGCGGTATCAGGGACACCTTGCAACGACCATGCGAGCACGAACCCAGCGACCCCGTGTACTGCTCGAGCTGGTCCACCATGTCCTCCAGCTCCGAGAGCTCCTCATCGATGTCGTCGATGATGTTCATCTTCTCCTCGTTCGCAGATGCTACAACAGACAGCAGCAGCAGCAACAGCAGCAGCAGCAACGGTTAGACAACTTGCACACCTCGTCCGCGGCGAATGTATCAGCTACAACGCCACCAAAACCATGCGTGCACTGAGTGCGTTGGTTACCTCTCGCCTCCAGGACCTTGGACAACTTGCCAATGCTCTTGGCCTCGCGCTTCATGCCCTTGTACTTGGCGTTGATGTTGTTCACGACCGTCTCCATCAGCTGCATCGACTCCAGCGAGCCTGCGCCAGAGACCAGAAGCAGCAGTACATGTAGCAGCAGCAGTACATGTAGCAGCAGCAGTTTGACTTCAGAGTGCTGCTTCGACGCCTCCGCTCATTCTGGCAATGCACAATCTTTTGCCTCGGACTCACCGCCGAGTTGGGCTCCCACATACGCCGTCACGTTCTCGCACACGCGCTGCGAGAGCTGCCGCAGCTCGTCGACCTCGGCCTTCTCCATGCTCGACTGCGGGGCCGACTTCGCAACTTTGACCTGCCTTCTGGCATCGAATGAAATACTAGAGGCTCTCACAAGTCGCAGATCTGCGATGTGTGAGAGTGCAACAGATTGAAGCTTAATCATAAATTAACGTTACTTCTTTTTTTGCTGTTGGTTTTGCTAGCGTTCATGGTACTTGCTTCACATTGAGTCGCTTCGCTTGAGCTGGAGGCTCTCATAGCGTGGAGGCGCTGATTCGACGGCGCTGCTGCGCGGATTGCGGCGTGGTGAGAGGTTGAAGCGCGGCGAGGACTCGGACGCCGCCGTCGGGGATAGCGAAAAGTTGGAGCGGAAGTCATCCCGCGCCTTGGGAGTTGGCGACTGCTTGCTCCAGGGCACCACGATCCACTCGACAGCGGGCAGCTTGAGGAAGTCGCGGACGTGCGGCTCCGCCGAGAGAGGAATCTCCTGGTCGAGGACGCCCTGGAAGCTCAGCCGGAGCGCGCGCTCGAGGAAGAGCTGCAGATACGCAGCTCGGCGCTCCAGGAAGCTTGCAGATAAATAGCGGAAGAAGGTTTTCGGCGGGAGCAGCCTGCGGATCTGCAGCGAAGACACCTTCTCCTCCAGTGTCACGGCCAGCTGGTCGAACTCGGAGTAGCGGCGGTCGACAGTGGACACTTGCAGCTCGCCGTTCGCGTAGAACAGCACGCTGATAGCATACTTGGCGACGCCGTCCATGACGGTGACGCTGGAAATCTCGACTGTGAACGCTCCGTCATTCGGTGTTTCGTCAAACCAATAGCAGGGGTCCACGAAACGCACACACTTGCCAGCACCCGACCGATGCATGCTGTTCGTCCTCATCAAGGGACCAAAGTCGCCACAAGTGTTGCCGTTGTCGTAGGCGCGACCGAACATGCGCGCGAGCGCTTCGTCCCGCGGAGACTTCTTCGTGCTGTACCATTTCCCGTAGAAGCTGGCATCCGAGGACATGCTCACGTCGATGTCGAGCCAGGCACTGGGCAGAACGGGGCGATTGCCGCCATCTTGGCCCTCGATTCGGGCGTCACACGAGCTGGTCGCGACGATCGTCTGCTCTCCAAAGCCAAGCGCGAGGCCCAGAAAGTCCCGTATCCGAACATTGCTCGACACGGGCTCCTTGAGCGCCACGAGCCCGTTGAAGCCGATCTCGGTGATCTGCATCACGAAGCTCAGGAACTTGATCACTTCTTCGCCGTACGCGTCGAGATCCCGCTGTCTGCGCGCTGTGATGAGGCGTGTCCCGTGCGTGGGCATCTTGTCGGCCAGGCGGTGTCCTAGATACTGGAGCGAGAGCGCTTCCGTCAGCTGCACGATCTCCTGCTGCGTGCGCTCAACGTACGAGACGTAGTACTGCCGCTTGGAGGCCGGCTTGATGCGCGAGCCGTCGCAAATGGACCTGGCGCAGCAGCACATGACTGCGATGCGGAAGCAGATCTCGCCGTTGTCCTGGAAGACCGAGGCCATCTTGATGGTGAAGTCACCCGGAGACGCGAACGCTGGCGACCACGAGTTGGGCTGGCAGAAGACGCGTGTCAGGCCTTCGTGCATTTCCGGGATCTCGATCTCGTCCAGGTCGACGCTGGGCAGCGCTGGCAGCGCGAGGCTCCTGCTCTTCCGCACTTTATTCGTCTTCAAGTCCGGTGTGCGCATGATCTCCATCAGAGCCGACGGCGCTGCGTCGTTCAGCGGCTCGGACTGCTCCAGAGGCCGCACCTGAGCCACGAGGTTGTCGTAGTTGCGCATCGCTCGCTCCAGTTGAGTCGTAGCTTGGGCTTGATGGACTGGAGGCCGCAGGTCGGAGCACGACGCCCGCTTTTCCAGGAAAGTCTCGTACGCGAGGCGCTTGGTGGGCGGCGCCACTGTGGACGGCATCTTGAGTGCCGTCGGCGTCGAGGGCGACGCGCCGCTGCCGCAGGACAAGGACAGCATGGTCCGAGTCGCGTCCACACGCACAGGCACAGAGCCCACCTGGAAGTTGAGTAAAAGGAGAAGTGTCTGGGCAACGGGGCGACGAGAAGTTCGAGAAAGTCCGCCACACCCAGCCACAGCTCACAAGAGCCAACGGGTATGTATAGCCCACGCGCGGATCAACAAGCAAGTTCTACCGACCTAATAAAGGCACGGTATAGCACTGGCCAACTGAGCGTTCCAACATGAGACCGGGCCGGCAAGATCCACCTCGAATATTTCACCGCGACAACCGCCTCGGGCACAATACAAAGTGGGGGTCGAGACCTTCACTAGCGCCTCACAACGAAAGCAAACCCACCGACAGCATGTCGTATGTCCTACAGCAAGTCCGGACGCAGTCAAGGTCCTTGACTCAAGGTAGCGAGACCTAAAATGCTTCCTGCATGGGTGCGACTCAGGAGCTTCTTGCGGCGCCCCCGCCGCTTCGCTTCGAGTCGAGCGCGTGTCATTCCGTGATCTGCCGCGCAAGAGGAAGAAGACGTAAACGACATCGCCATGGCCTGCTCGTGCTCCGGCCTCATCTCGCTCATCGTGCTGTTTGCGGCCGTGGTGCTCAATATCGTGGCCTTCTCGCTGCCGCTCTGGACCACAAGCACGACCGTGAACGAGTCGCTGCAGAGCACAGTGGACAGCTCCGACTTCGCCGCGGGCGTCTGGGGCTTCTGCACGGACGTAGAGTTCTCGTCGGCCAGCGACGGCGCCAACGCCAGCGCGTCCTTCGACCACTGCTACCTCTTCCACACGTCCTCCAAGTACGACGTGACGGAGCTGGACTCGGACCTCATGTCCAACTTCTCGGACTACAGCGTGTGCGATGGCTACAGTCGCGCCGGGGACGAGAGCGACGCCACGCAGCTCGCGTTCGCCGCGGCACTGGCCACCACCGCCGGCATGGACGCCACGCAGTTCGACAAGTTCCTCCACAAGTCGTGCGGAGCTCTGGGAAGCGCCACGCTGGCCTTCGGAGGCATCAGCATGAGCGCGGGCGCACTGTCCTTCGTGGCGCTCGCGCTCGGTATCACGTGCTGCAAGCGCCGCTCCATCTTCGTGCTGGGCGGCAAAGTTTTCGTGGGCATCGCACTCATATCGACGGTGCTCACGTTCGCGCTGTGGATCCCGCAGGCGCACCCGCTCGGCAAGGCGGACGACGTGACGCTCAACGGATCCTTCATCCTCAGCGTCATTAGCGCCGTGCTCTACATGATCGCTTCCGGACTCGTGGCGCGCCATGCCGGCATCAAGGGATAAGGTCAACCGGGCATCAAGGCTCTCGTAGGATCAGTAGTGTAGGGACAAGATGGCTTCAACATGAAAATGTAGCCATATCGGCGCCCTTTCTATTTTCTAGGATCGCGATCTTCCAGCACTTTTGACCACAAACAGACCAAGAGCAAAGAGCTGTTGATGGCGATGGCGACGCCTCGCATGCTTGCAAGCGTGTTGCTCTGTGTGGCGTATTGCTGCGTTGCTGTTGCTGGCGCCTCGACTCTGGAGCATGCCGGAGGTGTGAACGCTCCGCCCCCTGTGCAGCAGGAGGAGCTGCTCAAGGGGCTGCAGATGGTCTACCCGGAGCCGGACGCAGTGTACAGGTCCCCGCTGGCATTCCGCTTCAGACTGGTCACGCAGTCGGACTTCAGCGAGCTGATGGAGACGTACGCTGGTCGCCGGTGGCTGTGTCTGCAGCTGGACGGCAGCTGGCGTCGGTGCATCCCCATTGAGAGCGGGACGCTAATCCAAGAGGCCATCGACGTTGGCAACCACACGGCGCGCCTTGTGCTCTTTGACTCGCCGACGACAGAGACGGGGAAGCACTTGATGCAGTCAGAGTTGGTGGCCTTCACGATCCTAAGCACTGAGGATTTCACCGCTGTACTAAAGCAACAACGCCTGGATGATCTCGCGCTCTACGGAGCTCAGACTGGCGAAGAAGACATGGGCGTTGTGGAATGGTACCGCCTGAGGAAACAAGGACAGAGTGGCGGCAACGGAAAAGACTCAGCCTATGTCACACATGAGGTCGATGCTGCCACTGGCGACTCTCGACCTGTTGACGACATCAAGACGGAACCAGCGCACAACAGCCCCACGGACCCCCCGCTCGTGGTTATCGGAGTCAAGACCCGAGTCATCGACGGGTTCCCATTCCGACAGGCTATTCGTCAGACATGGGCTAGCAAGGAGAGTCTACCAAACAGTTTACGCGTTCTTTTTGCGGCCTGTCGCGTTCCAGCGGATGCAAACGAAGAAACTCGTGAAGCGATCGCGTACGAGCAGAAGAAATTCGGCGACCTGCTTACAGATGCACTGGACTGTGAGGACTCGTACGCAACTCTGCCTGATAAAGTCAAGGAGTTCCTCCATTTTGTTGGAACTGACCACGTACTACGTCGCTCTGGGTACGTGATGATCGCCGACGACGACGTGTATGTGCGCGCTCGAGACTTGGCAGAGCAACTGGCAGCGTTGGGTCCTCTACACGATTTATATGCTGGTCACGTGAAGCAAGGCAACTCTTTCGTCCCGGAGAGAGACCCGCAGCGTCGGTACTACCTGCCAGAGTCTGTCTACCCTCTGGACGAGTTCCCCCCATTCGCGTGGGGTCCTCATTACCTCATGTCGATGGACGTTGTCGAGTTCATCGCGGACAATCGCGAAGAGCTGCAGGGGCTTGGGCCACTCGACGATGTGACCATAGCACTCTGGCTGCTCGCGATCCAAGTCCACCCGCAGCACCTCGACCTATTCAATAATCTCCGCGAGACTCCGTGCTTGGACGACCTGCTAGCATACGCGGACTTGGGGCCGTTCGCAATACGCGTTATTCACAGCAACTTGCAGGCAGGACGCAACTTCTGCCACGGGTTCAACGCACATACGTGGGATAAAGATGGCTTGAGGTGATCAGCAATTCGTACACTCTAAGAACGAGACGATGGATACGAGTTGTCGTGCAAACGTTTGCATATCGAGGACAGGCTACGAATGAAGTGAATGCAAAGTATGCGATTGCTCCGATCTCAGTTATCGGACTACTGCACTGCAGCTGTCGTCCCCACTCAGTAATTTGCGATTCATTCACGCCTTGAACGTTACCATTTAGCGTTGAGCATATTCTTGCCAGGATCTCGGCACATGAACGGACCGAACCTGGAAGTTCAGACGCGTTTGGGCGCAGAGCCTCCGCAAGTATTCATTTAATTGCCCATGACGCGGAAAATACTGTACCTTGATACCAGCATGAGTTGACGCCGATATCGTGGTAGTGATATGAAGTTCACTCGGTCGCTCCAACTCAATCAGTGATATCTCTACCTGCAGATGTTCCCCAGAAAATGGCAGCGCCCGAAGAATACCTCGTGCTGGTTCGTCATCATTCAGCCCCATCCAGACGTATCGATCAAAGCCATGACAGAAGCCACGCGGAGCTACTACATTCGCGTGGATCAAGCAAATAGCCGACGCCGATAAATCGCTCAAAGTCCTTGCAAGGCCCTGACCTTAGATGCTGGAGACCAGTGAGATGCATCGGGTGCACTTGTCTCGCCAGCATCCAGAGGGCAACGGAGATATCGTCCATTCCTCCCAAATCCCGCAGTCTTCGGCGATTTTTCGACACAAATTGCACGTTGTCCATGGACAAGAAGAAGTTAGCTCCAAGCGCGAACGGAGGCAACTTGCTGATTGGATACTGCGCTTTCGTGAGGTAGTGAGGAGACTCGGGGTTCCGAGTTGGTGGAGTTTTGCGGGCATTTTCGATCTCGCGGACGCGGCCTGCATAGAATCGCTCTTGAGGGCCCAGTTCTTTCAGCAATTCAAGGTAGATGTCATCGTCAGCCACCATGGCGTACTGCGCGTTCGAGTATCGCGTCGCCACTAGGTGAAGAAACTCTTTTGATTTGTCTGCCAAGCGGACGTACGCATCGTCGCAATCCAACTCGTCGGTTAACAGATCAGCGTAGACTTGCTTCTCGAGCTCGATTGATTCCCAGATCCGACATAGTTTCGCTTCTTCCAGCGACGGACTGGCGACAGCATGCGGCCGACAGCCCAGGAAAATCACCTTCACTCCCTGAGGCAGCGAAGATTGGCTCGCCCACGTCTCTCGGATAGCCTGTCGAAGCGGGAAGCGAGAAATAACCGCCGTTTTTACACCAACAACCAGAAAGAGCTCTGCCGTCTCATTCGCCGTTGTTGTGCGGTCTCCCATTCCACGGCGATCCTGCTCAATTCTTTGTAGAATGTCGCGGTCCGGTCGTCTATGCTGGGAATGGGCCCAATCCACAAGCGACAGCCGATACCCCGCTCGATGCTTTTTGTGATCCTGGTCGATTTCTCTGCTAACACGCGCAATCAATTCCGTTTCGTCGACCAGCATGAAGGAGATTGGGTCGGACACACTTTTCACTTCGCCCTCGTCACCTCCAGGTCGTTTGAGGTACACGCGTGCTGTGCACTTGCCGACGTAGTGGTATTCGAGGCCGGGCTCGCCCACTTTGGAGCAGAAAATCGTGACAGCATTCACTTCAACGCAGAAACTGGCGTTCGCGTACTGGGCGCTGAAAAGCTTTTCCCCGCCAGGCTGCACGTGGATTTGCACTCGAAACACCACAGGGGACATCTCGATCGCTCCGTCAGTCGGATAAATGAGACTGATTCCTCGAACGGGATCGCTGTGGCTGTCGATAAGGTTGGCTCAGCATTCAGTGGCACTTGGATTCCGTCCCCAACCAGCGGATCGGTGAGACGAGATGCCGCGCGAATGTGGAGCAAGAGGAGAGCAACAACCGCGAGGAACAGCTTCATCTGGGGCTCGACAAGAAGATCTTTTCGCGGATCTTTGATCAGCAAAAACGTTCTAGTATTTATGACCCCATCTGACTGCAGCAAAAAGCAACGCAAGGTTGGATGTAGCCATGTAAAATGTAGCCATAACAATCGACCACCGAAAGATCGCTTTTGACACGCGTGACGGACGATCGCAATGCGCGAAGTGGCGGCCTTCGTTGTGGCTCTTGTGGCCTGCATCTGCTGCTCGTCAGGCAAGGAGCAGTGGGTGTCGGATATGAGAGGCGTAAGTAGCAACGACCCGCTCAGTGGATTGCAACGAGGGGGTAAAGAGGATCCGGTTAGGTCTCTAGAGATCATGTACCCCCTCAATGGAGCTACGGAGACTTCGCCCTTCCGACTGGCCTCGGTGGTCAATATCCGGGATGGCGGGGCTGACCTGTACAGCGAGCTGTACGCTGACATGAGCATTTGCTTCGAGTCGAGAAGCGTGACGTTTATTTGCGCCTCGGTGGGCGATCGTTGGGACAAGAGGCAAGATTGGCCGTCTGGCAACTACACTATACAGGCCTACTTCACGCACATCGACGAGGAAGGAAAGCCCAAAGGCGAGCGGTACTGGACGTCGCAGCCGATTACGTTTACTGTTGTCAGCAATGATCAGTTTGACGCACGCACTGCAGACTATGTGCGCTCAAGACAAGGGAAGTACCGGGCTGGATTTGATCTTTCTTTAACGGAGTGGGCTTCCGAGCAACAGCGACGCCGACCTCAAGAAATACTCCAAAGACTCGAGGAAGATCGTGTGGGTCTTCAATCTGGAGCAGCTACGGATGATGAGGAAGAGTTGGTGCTTTTGATTGGAGTCAAGACAGCGGTGAACACGAATTTTGCACTTCGACAGGCGGTTAGAGAAACTTGGGCCAGAAAGGACGCTTTGCATCGCGGCCTTAAAGTGTTTTTTGTGGGATGTCGTCCGATATCGTTTGTCGCCGATGCTTCTATTCCCGAGACACCGGAACGCAGGCGCCTCCGAGAAGCTGTCGAACTGGAGAAGTTGGTGTATGGGGATCTGCTTACGGACGAGCTCGACTGCAACGACTCTTACCTGGAATTATCGGACAAGGTGAAGGAGTTCTTACACGTTGCAGCGACGCAGTTCTCGCGTGCTCAATTTGTGATGCTCGCTGACGATGACGTCTACATTCGAGCGGACAAACTGCTCGAGTATCTGAAAAGCATTGGCCCGCAGACTCGATACTTCAGTGGGCAGGTGCCATCGGTGCAACATGTTCGAAAAGATAGGCCCAACAGAGACACCAGTTTGCGCTATTCCTTGCCCAAGGAACTGTATCCGCTCTCAGAGCTTCCTCCGATGGCAATGGGCGCGTACTTCTTCCTCTCAATGGACTGTGCGAAGTTTGTCTCCAAGAATCGACGTCGCCTCCGCGGCCTTAACGGAATCGACGACATCACGGTACCGCTCTGGATGCTGGTAATCCAAGTGCACGTCCAGCACTTGCCGTGGCTGGGCTACTTACGCGCAGAACCATGCAGCGATAACTTTGTGGCATTTGGGGACTTGTCCCCACTGGCACTTCGAGAAGTTCACAACAACTTGCAAGAGCAACGCCGCTTCTGCCACGGATTCGACCGAAAATTGTGGCTCAAAGCATCGGGCGACGCGAAGGAAGATGGATTGCTCCGCGTGTTGCCTACTTATCCAGAGCGCCTACAGTTTGAGTTTGGCATTGTGAACGCTGACAATCCTGACCTGCTCCAGATCACAACGACTATTTCAACGCCTTCCCACGCTGGGATCAAAGTGTCGTACTCTCCGTCCAGTGAAACGTTTTCAGCCTACTCGTGCCGGGTATGCGCTGAGGCTCGTTTAAGCTTCCCCAGCGCGGTTAACGCCACTGCTTGTACACAGATCGGCAAAATGGTCGAGTCGAAGCTTCACAGTTTTCGTGGAGGGTCAGAGACTCTACCACACAAACAAGCCAATGTGTAGCACTTTGGTACAGAAACTATATTAAAGTCCACAGCTACTCTCACGTTGTTTTTCTTCTTCTTCCCCTTCTTCATCTTGTCCACAACTGAAAAGAAAAAACAAACAAGCAAACTGTTCTAAAATATCTCAATCCGCGCCACGCCTTTCAACACCGCGTCCGCTTTGGTCCTACTGGAACTGCAAAGAGACATGGAAACGCCCCGTAGACCGTTGATAAGCTTATCGCTGGTGGCTCAGGATTATGAGTGTGGATTTCCAGCGGATAGTCGAATTGCACCGTCGGTGAAATGTTGGGTTAAACAGCCCTGACCTGCGTCACTCTGACAGTCAGAATCTACGTAAAGTTTGCAAAATTTTCACTGCTATCTACTCAATTGGCCGCAGAGGATGTTAAGCCCTGCGTGGCCAGAATTTCTAGCGGGGAGAGCGCCTTATATTCGTTCGACGCCGTGCGATCGAAGTCGTCGCAAAACTCATTCCCACGGAGAAGGTTTGTGTGAATCGCTCGAATGCCCAGCGGCGACAACTCGGCAAATGAGATTAAGGTGTTTTTGCACGCCTGAGTCGTGAGATGCGCGAACGTCTGGGTATGTTTCAAACGAACTTGCATCGTCAAGAGCCACAGCGCCACGCTCACGTCGTCCAGTCCGCTCATTCCTCGCAGTCGCCAATAGTTCTTTGAAATAAAGCGAGTACAATCCATTGAAATGACGTGGTGGGCCCCAAACGCGTACGGCAGAAGCTGACTCATGGGATATTGCTCCATTGGCAGATAGTTTTTGTGAAATTCCTCTCGAACGGGGGTCGACGCTCTGCTGAATACCGAATTCCACGCCTGACCCAAGTATACGCGCTTCGTGCTATCCAATCCGTCGAGCAACTTCACCAGTTTATCGACCCGTAGATAAATATCATCATCTGCGATCATCACGTACGAAGTTTGAGGGAAATTTATCGCTGCAAAGTGGTAAAACTTCGTCACCTTGTCGGGAAGGAGCTCATACGCGTCTTGGCAGTCCAGCTCCTCCGTCAGCAAGTCGCCGTATGCTGCCTTCTCTAGCGCAACCGCATCTCTGAAGAGCTGTCGATGTCTCTCATCGTCGATACCAAGCATGTTGGGATTGCAACCAAGAAACAAAACCTTGACTTTGGACAGAGGCGCTTGTCTCCCCCAAGTTTCTCGAATAGCCTGGCGACGAGGGAAGTTTGACAGAACGGCAGTCTTGACCCCAATTACAAGCTGCACGTCGTCAGCCTCTCCACTTGACGAGGCCTTATCGGCCTTATCCCCTGTATCTTGTTGCTGCTGCGCCCACGTCAGGATATCCCAGTCTCTGGGCAACTCGAGCTCCTCTTGTCTTCGCTGCACCACTTCCTTACTGTATTCGTCAAATTCGTCAGTACTCACGATGGCAAATGTCGCGGCCTCCGTCAAATGGCGATGCGCGCCATGGTCCATGTCGTCTGTAATGAAGGCTCGAACAGTGTGGTGGCCTTGCGGGAGCTCGTCGAACACGATATCGGAATCAAGGACCGGGTTGCACTTGGTTTCCACGTCTTGAATCTCGATGCACGCCAGCATCCCCGCGTAGTGCGCCGAGAACGACTCGATGCTTTTGACGCTCATATGGCACGAGACTTTCAGAGGCAGCGCCACCACCGAGCCGTTCGTAGGATGGTTGATGAGGAACTTGAGAATCGGGTCCTCCCCCTCTGGCGGACCCTGGGGCAACGCGGCATGGACGACAATGCCTACCGCGGCAACAAACACAAGGAGCTGCAGACAAATGAGCATTGCCGTGTCAGGGGGAGGGGGGGGGGGCTGAGGGTCTTCTTTGATGAAGTGGCGTCGCACACCGAAAGATCGCGGATTTGATGTGCATGGCTGCAAGAAGGCTTCTCTTGACATGGGCCTGGTTACATGCATTGGGTTCGACCCGGGCTGTCACCAGCTCCGCATCGCGTAGAGAGCTGCGTGGAGGACCCCGTTACGACCGTGGAGATGCTCTATCCTCTCAATGATTCAGTTGAGACCCCGCCGGTGAAATTATTTGCCAAGATCAACGTCCGACAAGGCGGAGCTCAGCTGTTCAACGTGCTGTACGGCGAGACGAGTTTGTGCTTCGAGGTGGACAACGCGACTTTGGGCTGCTCTGCTATCAGAAGCACGCGGTCGCAGATTCAGATTCAACAGCTTGGGAGCTTTTCAGTTCGGGCGTATTTGAGCGACGTCAGCAGCGCTGAGGAACCTGTTGGACAGCGATACTGGCTGTCCCCTGCAGTAGGATTTACTGTGATGGAAGGCTCCGAGTTCACTGATCATCTGGATATGCGCACACAAGCCAGAAGGAATCGGCTGCGTGAAGGCTACGACTTGTCCCTCCTCGAGTGGGCGACACTGCAGCAATCACAGCGAGATGAAAGCCTACTGAAGGCTCTTGAGCAGAATGAGGTAGGACTTCATTTTGCCGACCAAAGTGCAGAGTGTCTGGTGCTTCTGATCGGAATAAAAACCGCAATCGCTACAAACTTCGCGCTCCGGCAGGCGATTCGCGAGACTTGGGCGAGCAAAGACGCACTACCTGATGGTGTCAATGTCGTCTTTCTGGGGTGTCGGCCTATAGCTCGCGTGGATGAAGGTTCAAGATTGAATTCGGACGAGAACGACTGGGAGCGGCGACGTCTACGAGACGCTATTGCGCTGGAGCAACTGATGTACGGTGACTTGCTAACACACGAACTCGATTGTGACGATACGTATCTCGATCTCGCAAACAAAGTGAAGGAATTCTACCACGTAGCAGCCAAGCGGTTTGCTCATGCCCAGTACGTGATGATTGCCGACGATGACGTTTACGTCCGCGCAGATATGCTGGTGGATCACTTCAAACGCCTCGGGCCACAGACGAGATACTACAGCGGCCAAGTGCTCTCAGTACAACATGCTACCAAGGAAGTACCCACGCGGGAAACCAGTTTTCGCTATACTTTATCCAGGACGCAGTATCCTATGCCTGAGTTGCCTCCATTCGCGATTGGAGCGTATTTCTTCCTGTCAATGGATTGCGTGAAGTTTATCTCCAAGAACCGCCGTCGCCTCCGGGACCTTGGCGGCATGGACGACATCACAATTGCGCTCTGGATGCTAACAGCCCAGGCACACGCTCAACATTTCCCACAACTCGGGTTTCTTCGCCTAGAACCCTGCACCGAAACTCTACTGGTATTTGGAGATTTATCTTCGCTGGCGATTCGTGAAATCCACGCCAATCTGTTGAGGAATCGCGGCTTTTGCCACGGATTCGACACTTCAGTTTGGATTCACTGTCGAGAACACGAGCTGTCTACGAATTACTACAACGATTTCTACGCCCTCCCACGCTGGAATTAAAGTGCCGTACCTTCACGAGGAAGGCAATTGCTCAGAGTATGCGCTTCGAATGTGTGCCGAGACTCGCTTGAGTTTTCCCGGAGCTGTTGAGCAGTTATCATGCGATGAGATTGCTACTCAACTAGGTGTTGAGCTTCAGAAATTCTATGAGCGAATTCAGAACTACCAGAGCTGTCACTACGCCTTAAGGAGTTAACATGCATTGAGCAACGTAATTAATCTTGTAAGGAAATCATGCTGACCGATAAAATAAAAAATATAATAGCGCTTCTGACCAACGTAAAGCAAAAAAAATAGAACGTTTCTGATGCACATCAAAAGATCGGCAAAAGATCGCAACAATGAAGTTGGCTGGTCCTCTGCTCTGGTTGAATTGTGCGCTTTGCTGCTTCGCTGGGCCGCTGCCGCCCGAGTCAAGGACACTAGAAGCCAATGATGATGACGTCGAGGACCCAGTGACCGCAATCCGGATCGTTCGTCCACCCGATAGGGCAATCGAGAAGTCCCCAGTCATGTTCTAGACACTGATCGACCTTCGCCCCGGCAGTAGTAACCAGCTCTTTGAAACTCTGTACGAAGGAGGGAGTCTCTGCATCGAGGTCAACGAGGAGATTGTCCACTGCTCCCCCATCGACCAGTCGACATTTTGGTTTCATCACCTCGGCAATTGTACCGCCCGAGCTTTCTTGGTGCGTTCGGGATCGTTCAAACTGGAGGATCGAGGATCGTATCCTCAATCGTCTCCTGTTACGTTCACACAAGTGAATAACACAGAGTTCAACGCGCACATTGCCCAGGAGATTGAGAAAGATGGTAAGAGGCATCGAGCAGGATATCTGCAGTCGCTTGTGGAGTGGGCGGAAGCACGACGGAGACAACGGGATCCAGAGCTACGGTCCAGGGGATAAGGCAGCATCTGACCCGATGCTTCTGGTAGGCGTGAGGACGGCGGTCGTGTCTAATTTCCCCTTTCGACAGGCGATCCGAGAGACATGGGCGAGTAAATCCGTTCTACCTCAAGGAGTCAAGGTGGTTTTTCTGGGATGTCGACCGCACGCGTCGCGAGCTGGCGGAGATTCTTACAACTCTGGAATTTGGGAGTCTGTGGAGCTGGAGAAGCAGGTTTACGGCGACCTATTGACGGATGAGCTGGGTTGTGATGATGCGTACGGCCGCCTTGCAGATAAAACGAAGGAGTTTTTCCACTTTGCAGCGACTCGATTCCCGGACTCTCAGTACATCATGGTGGCAGACGACAACTTGTACTTCCGTCTGGATAATATCGCTGCGTGGCTGAAGCGCTTGGGTCCGCTTCGTCGCTTCTACGTTGGTCACGTGCGCGCTCTACAAAGTATCGCCAAAATCCCGCCGAACAGGAATCCTGCCCCGCGCCACTACCTCCCTTACGAGCAGTATCCGATGCGTGAACTGCCGCCATTCGCTCTAGGAGCCAACTTCTTCCTGTCGATGGATTGTGTGCGCTTTGTGTCCAAGAATCGCCATCGCCTGCGCGATTTAGGCGGGATGGACGACATATCGACTGCTCTGTGGATGCTGTCGCTGCAGGTTCATCCGAAGCACTTGACTGGGCTGGACCATTTGAACTGGGGGCCATGCACAGATGATCTCGTAGCTTTGAGCGACTTGACGGTGTCAGCTATTCGCGTGATTCACGATAATGTGTTGTCTGGGAGGCGCTTTTGCCACGGATTTCAGTGGAACGTCTGGATGAGGAACGACATTGGTGCGCCGTCGAAAGGGCCACTGCCGTTCTCGCGGGAGTCATTAAGAGTTGAGCTTTCTTCTCGGAATTTACAGGAGGAAACGGGAAAGCTGGAGGTCGAAGCTACGGTCTCCACTCCAACTCGTGCTGGTTTAAAGATGGTCTATCTTCCGGTCGAAGAGGAAATTGAGGAATTCGCCGAGCGCGTCTGCGTGCAGGCTCGACTTCGATTCCCAGGAGCTACAGACACTTCATGCTCAGAGATGGTTCAGTCAGAACTCCTGCTTTGGTTTGATCAAATGAAGACGTCTCGAGAAAACGAGAGGAGTAGTGGTCACACATAGATGGCAAAAAACAAACTATACGTCCGGTCAAAGGAGGAGTTTTGTCCATACTTACTTGTCTAATGTGTTTGACCGACCACTTTGACTGTAAGAGTGCGTAGGCAGCACTACGTAGTCAGGCGTACGCTTATTACATTCTTCGCGGGCTTATCAGCCTTATTACTTCTTGAGCCAAGGCAGCAGTTGGCGAGGTGAAAGCGGCGTCTTGGTCTGGCTGGGGTGCCGAGCGTCATCGCTTCGTGCAATGGACGCTATTCTCGAGATCGGACATTTGGGCGAGCGTTGAGGCCGTACTATGAACCCTTCCACGCTGCGGCGGTCTATTGAGAGCTAACACAAGCTCTGCATCATGACAGCGCATCCAACAACGCTCCGATACGCGATTCGGCAGCACCTTCGTGCGACTGCCGCCGACTGCCCCAACGTCCGAGAGTGCTGCCTCCACCTCCACCGCCATGCCCAGGACTGCCGTCTTCCTTGCGGCCTTCCACATCGATACGCAGCCAGCGCGTGGACGTTCCGCTGGCGAAGTCAAACTCCTGAATATGCCGCGTCCGAACTCGCAGCAGCGGGGCGGGCGTCATCCCACCGCCGCTCGCGTCGTTCGAGTCGCCGAAGCGCTCCACGTCGTCCAGCAAATGGAACGAGAAGGCGCTAAACACAGTGATCAGGAAGCGGCTCGGACGCTCGGGCGACACGTCGATCTCAATGGGCCGTCCTCGCGCCTCAGCCGGTCGGATGATCAGGTTCGGGTTGCCCAGTAATCGATGCACCACGAAGTACGAGTCGCCGCCGCTGATCGTTCGTGCGCACGCCTGCAACAAGGCGCTCACAGCGCGCACGCGCTCCTCGGGGGCAGCCGCGAAGCGCTGGATGTGGGCATCGAGCACCTCAAAGATGTGTTCAAGACCGCGGTTCTGTTGCGGTTGAGTCGAAGAATCACCGGCGTTTTGCTCCGCTGCTTGTTGCTGTTGCTGCTGCTCGCCTCCACCGTATAATGTGTCATTGATGAGGAATAACTCGGGTAGAATGTCACGCAGCGTTTGCTCGAGGGAGATCGGCTGCGGTCTAGGCAAAAAGATCTGAGCGAAGGTCTCCGCATGCCGCGAGAAGATGGCCAGGTAGTCTCCGCGTGTCCGCGCGCGTGCCGCCTTCTTGCGGATCGCAATCTGCTCTGGCGGGTGGATCTCCCACAGCAGCGGATCGGTCTCGCGTAAGTACTGCACACTCCCCAGTTGCTGGTACGATGCCGTCCAGCGCGCGGTGGTGGTCCGCAGCTCTTCCGTGTCGGCGTCTTCCACGTCCTGCCGCTCCTTCTCAGCTGATAGTGACAGCGCTGAAGACGCGAGTGCCGCCTTGGTTGCTGTAGGGGACCGAAAGCGATAGAACGGCGTTTTCCGCTTCTTGTGGGGGGTCGAGAAGGGTCCAAACGACGACGAGGAGTGAGCTGGTAGCGTCGATGAAGAGCCGGCTGTGGCTGATGCTAGTTTGCAGTAGAAGGAGGCGCGGTTGAGTGCTGCTACCCACGCACACACAGCAGCCTCCGTCTCCTCAACAACCCGCAGCTCAATTGATTTCCGCCTACAACAACAAGACAAGCGCAGAGTTAGGTGACGCTATGCAGTATAGCTCAGCCATACCACGTACGGGAAGACTTGGTGCGTGAGTCTGGCTGAGAACTTGAGGACTTGCAGTCGCCGGTGTGAGCTCGCACTCGAGATACTGAAGGCCATGGCGTGGTCACCACGACCGCGTTGAACGAGTGCATGGTCCAGCAGTACAGCACCACGCGGAAGACCGTCGGCTTCACTAGCGAAATAGTACAGCCGGTTGCCTTTGAGCTCGAAGTAGCGCGGCTGCCAGGCGCTGCCGAGGCCGTGTTGCTTGCGTTTCTTCTTCTTGAGCCAGCCCATCTTCTCTGGAGCCAGGTGGGCCACTGGATCCGTTATACTGTCGTCGTCGGTGATAGATAATTCCCCCTGCAACGACGCATGCTCTGACGATCCCGAGGGCTGCGACGATAACGAGAGCATGGACCACGACAACGGGAGTGCGGAGACTTGCTCGCTGCTGTCTTCTTCCTCCTCTTCGTCGTTTTGGCCGCGATCGGCCGACATCTCCGCCTCCTCTCTTTGCCGCTCTCCATCCGCACGAGATTCAGCTCTATCTCCGTCTTCTCTCTTCTTGTCGGCCATTTGAGCTTGTGATAGCCGCAGAACCTCGATATCCTCCGCCACCAGCGTGCTGAAGGGACTCAACTGGAGCTTCTCCTGGCTCAGGTCGTCGTCGTCACTCCTCGTAAGTTGAATAGGGGAGAGCGGAGGCTGCGGATCACTGCTCTCCTCATTGGCAACGCCAGCCGCTGGAGTCTCCGCAGTCGGCAATCCAATGAACGGGGAGCTCGTTTGCTTGGAGATCTCAGCTACAGCTTGGTTGATACGATGCGCCAGCGTAATATGCTCCGCGTGAAGCTCTCCCGAGCGCGTGAGCGGCAGTGAAACGGTGACGGCCCAAAGCTGTCGCCCGATCCATTGCAGTGACACGTCCGGGTTAATGGCATTCGAGCTGGTAGACGGTGGGGTCTGGCTACTGGTACTGGAGGTGTCCAAAGCCCACTCGGAGACCACTCGCGCCACCTTGGAGACAATGGCAGCCCCAGCCTCCATCGTCCAGCAAGTGATGCAGGCCTTGAAGAAGTCGTCCTCCCGATACCAGCGCTCTACTCGAGCCTGCGGTAGTTCCCAGCTGCCTTCGGTCTGATGGTCTGGCGGGGCTTGTATGGATGATAATACCTGGGTGGTAGTGGCTTGATCGGACGACGAGGTGGTCAACGCGCTGTTATTTACTGTTGTGACCTCAGAAACCAAGCACGACGGCGTCACTGTGGCGGTAGAAGTGTTCGACAGCGGTAGGACGGACGGGGAGAACCGCTCCTTGATTTTGAGGAACTGGTCCTTGAGACTGGTCAGGTTTTCGTGTCGGACGGATGAAGAAGGCATCGAAGGTAGTACAAAATCTCTCGAAAGTGTCCGCAGGTGTCTGGAGCGAGATCCCCGTCGACTGCGCTGAGTATCGGACGCTTGTTGACCGAGTTCCGTCGCGCTTGATTGCGAGTCGTAGAGTTCCGGGTTTGTTTCTAATGGGAATTGTCTGCCGCTGCTGCGACTTGAAAGCCCCGACGTTTTGCTGGGTTTGTCGCGGAAACTCCGAGATGTGGGCGAGGGCTCCCCTTGCGAGGTATTTTCATTATCTTGAACGTCTGTGAGCGACAGAGCTGGCTGGATCTCTGATGGAGGACTGGTACTGGACCCGTCATCGCTCGTAGGCAGATTCAGCGCGGACTGGCGACGGTGCAATGACGACATCTTGGCTAAGGGCCCCCTCGACGTTGTCATGTGTGGGGCGGGCGGCTCTGGAATCGGGGTCGGGATGGCCCAAGTCGAGTCTTCTTTCACAAACACCGCGTCAATGCACCCGAGAGCCTGCGAGACGACGAAAACAGCGCCACACGCTCCGGTGCTGAGTCGTCCGTCTCTGTTGTTGGCTGTCGACGCATGGGCTTTAGATAGCCCACATATACCAGCCTTGCAACTCGCTTTGACCAAACTTTGTTCAGGAGAGGAGAATATTCCTGGCGCAGCTAAAATAGTCGAGATTTCCCGCGCGTTCGTTTCAAGTGGCGAGGTCTCCACACCCCGCGTCACGCTCTGCCCATGGACTTCAGACTCCAAGCCAAGCGAAGTGAAGTATGCAGTGCACCCTTGATTCATTCCCTCATAACAACATCCTCCTGCGCCTCGCTAGGTATGCAAACACTCTTGGCTAGAGCCTTCAGGTACTTTCGAGCTTCGTCGGGCGACTGCTTCGACTGCTTGCTGGTGGTGCCCTGGTTGTCTTCGAGACCGTCATCGTCCTCCGGCTCCGCACAGTCAGCACCGACACTCTGCTTCATCACGGTTTCAATGATTTGTACCACGCGCTGGTGCTGCTCCCTCTGCTTCTTGCGCTCCAGCTCCGCCACGAGCTTCTGCCTCAGCAGCTCCTCCTCCTGCTCGCGGATCTTGGCCGCCCTCACCTCCGTCACCATGACGGGCCGCAGCAGATCCACCCACGCGCGTTTGCTCTTCTTGCCCTTGGCATCTCTGGCCTTTTCTCCTCCAGGCCCCATGAACCCCCGAGCCTCCGCCTCCGTCACCAGCTGCCGGAGCGTCAGCGACCTCAGCGGCCGCCCCTCCGCCGTGCCGTAGAGTCCGAGCAGCTCCCTGTCCAGCGCCTTGACAGCTGCTCCCTGCTTGTCGTCCAGCTTGGGCGGCTCCAGTCCGTGCTCCTTGGCCGCAATCAGCAGCTCGTGGCTCTCGAGCGTCTCCACGTACGCGACCACCGACATGAAGCGGCGTCCGAACGCGTAGCCGTCGTCCACGAGGCCCTCGAGCTGCTTCTTGGCCAGCTGCGCGCGCCGCAGCGTCGCCGGGTCCAGCACGTCCAGCGCCTTGAGGCTGCTCTGGTTCTCCTTGTCCTGTTCTACCTGTTCTACCTGTTCTACCTGCTCTACCTGGAGAGCGTCGGGGTCAGCACCGGACGCCCACAGCAGCAGCAGCTCCACGACGCGGCGCTGCGTCTGCAGCTCGCGCAGGTCGTCGCTCATTGGCTCAAAGCCGCGTTGGCGCAGGAAGCTCTGCAGTTCCTCTACGTACTGGAGCGTCAGCGTATGCGCTGCGTCATTGTGATCGATGTTGGCGGCGGTTGAGTCGACGAGGCCTCGTGCCTGGCATTCGAGGGCCAGGGCGCCGCCGTCCGGTGCACCCGCAGCGCCGCACAGCTTGACCACGGGCGCCTGATCCGCGTCGTACTCGATCACTTCCGCGCCTGAGAAGACCACGCGGCGCGGAGCTACAGAGCCGGCAGAGGTGGAGGCCGCGGCTTCAATGGTCATCGCTGTTGATATAATACAACTGTGTTTGAAGAGTGGGCGGCAAATTCAAAACGTGGTATCATTAAGTTCGCGAACTTAGATGCCACTATTGCAAGTATACATAATACATGTATATTGAAATGTGCTCTTATTTGGAACTATACAGAAGCAAACAAGAGCATATTTCAAAACAACGCAGGTATGGGCGGAAGGACGCCGGTGACGACGGCGGCGTCCTCGTCGCTGCTGACGACCCATGGCCTGCGCCAACTCTGGCAGGACAGCGCCGATGGGGCCACGGTGCGGGTGCAAGTTCTCGGCGTCTATCGCTGTACGTGGCGTGGTCGTCGACCTGTAACAAGTTCAATACCCTATCGATGCTACAGGTTGCTGACACTTTCCACCACTTGGCTGCTTGTTACCTACCATCAACAGACCTGGCGGACCCGGCGCTCAAGGACCGACTCGGGCAGCAGTTCGAGGGAGCGCGCGACGTGTTCGACGTGCTGCTGAGCGACGGCCGCCACAAGATGAAGGCGGTGCTCGATCCCAAGCTCAACCAGCTCGTCTGGACGCGGGAGCTCGCAGCGCACAGCTTCGTCAGCGTGAGCGCTCTACATTGAGGCTGGTCAATTGACGTCTCCTAACCATTATGATGCCATTGTGATTGCTGCAGGTCAAGAAGTTTCAGGTCTTCGGTGAGGACCCAGAGGACGACAAGCAGAAGCAGCGCGTGGTCGTGCTCCAGGAAGTCCAAGTCACGTCGTCCAATAAGGACGGAGTGCTGCCCGACAAGGTGCTTGCGCGGCGCTACGGCGCTCGCAGCAATGACGACGAGCTTCAGTTTCTGTCGACTCAGCATCCGCGAGAAGTGGAGCTGCTGCCGTTGGCGGGGGAGCGCGCGTACTACTTGCCGCTGCGGTCGGACCACTACACGCTCGATTGGGCGTGCAGCTTCACGGGTGGAGTCCCGGACGAAGACTCGCCGCTTGACGAACTGGAGAGCGATTGGGCTAGACGGTATGGCGGCCCTGAAGGCTCGGATGGGTCTAACGATGGGCAGGAGACTGGACCCAGCTCTGTGGTGGCGTGGAACATCAACCCGGAGTATTGCTCGGATCTGTTCACGCCCGAATGCAAGAAGATCCATACCATCCTGGAGGTTCTTGATCAGATTAAGAAGAACAGCGAGCCGGGGGCTACTCGTAAAGCACTTCCTCCCATGATTGGAGCTATCCGAGTAAAATCCAAGGTGATGAACATGGGGGATCCCGACGTTGCGAATCCGTTCCCCTTCGCATTCAACGCGGTCGTTGGTAAGTAACGTCAGATTTTTACTTGCAACTGCTTGCGTCTCTAACCTCACTTCTTGTGGGTTTGTAGTCGATGCTACTGGCGTGTTTGAAGTCGCGTTCTTCGGCTCCATGTGCGCCAAGTACTATCTGTCGTTGCGCGAAGGGGACCTCATCCAGTTCCGAGGCTATTCAACTGTCCACCCGCACGATCTTCAGTACACTATGACCAGCAGCCCCTTGTTGTACTATGAGCACGACTCCTTTGGTAGTGCCCTCCATGTACCGAGTGCGTATGCTCCATCGTTTGAAAGCGCGGCGACACTCACGTACTCACCCCCTTGTTTTGTTTGCTATTGCGGATGACAGAAAAGTACTGGGCGCTCCTGCAGTTGACAAAGGTGGCCCCGCAGCTGCTAGAGGTCAGCGAGGACATTGCTCAGCCAGGCTCGTGGAAGCCCCACCTCCCGCGCCCATCCTGGCTCGAATGCAGCTTCGTGAACACATTGAACACTCTCTATTGGGGGCAAAAGGCGATCAACGACCTTGACATCATGTACTTCGACTTCGTCGGGGTGCTGTCGAATGTCGGGAGAATTTGTCGCGGGCGAAAGCGGAGACTGGGCGAGGAGGACTCGCCTGAAGTTACCGAGTATCGGTGGGTGAAGATGATTGATAGCAGCTCGTCGCACGAGCTCGTTCTCAAGCTCACTGAGTGCTCCCAGCCCGCGGTGTTCCGATCCCTTGAGGCTGGCAACACCTTGATGATCACCAAGCTTCAATGGGTCATGCTACCGGGGGCTGGTACGGCGGAGAAGCGGATCCAGTATGCGACGACGAGCGTGTTCTCTGTTCTTCGCATGAACGAAGCTGTGCGGCCGTTCCACTCCATCGAAGAGTGCAGCCTGAACGTCTACTTCGCGAATAGCATCAAGAAGAACGCTGTTCTAGACTCGCGCAAAGAGTTTGGAGAGAGCAAGCTGACTGCGCACATTGAGAAAAAATATCGGCCTCGGAATTGCCTGCCATCGGATGTTGAAGAGTTCAAGGAAGCGTTCAACCTGAAAGTGTGTTCGTTCAGGTAGGTGACTTGCCTGGTTTGTGCAGTAGTGCTGGTGACCCGTTTAATGACTGGGTGTTGGTTGTTCGTTCAGGGACTTGAAGCTGCTGGGGGTACGTATGGGGGCCTCTGAGCAACTGCACGTTGGCTTCGTCGGCCAAGTGCGGGCTATCAGCAACGAAGACAAGCGGACAAAAGACGGACCATCAGTGTTGCTGGAGCTCTTCGACCCCAACGGCGACACCATTGAAATTCTGACTGTGGCGGTGAGTATCAATCCGCTGTACCAGAGGCCAGTCGTCAACGGAAGCGTCAAGACAGCCACGCCACCCGAGGCACTCCCTTTGGTTCGCCTACTTCCCGCCACGGTTGTCGACGGAATGCTGGAAGCTGCTGGACCAGCGCGGAGTCCGGAGCTGTCGCTGGCATTCATCCAAGAGTACCTGGTTGAGTCGAAGCGCGACTTCTTCTTCTCCCTGCAGCTCTATCGCGACGGAGTTGGCCACGTGACCTGGGAGGTCGACGCGATTCTCGAGGTCCCGTGATGCTAAGTGGAACTGCGTACGACGTTTTGGTAAGAACACAATACACAACAAGTTTCTACGTGAGAGAATCCTATGAAGCTACATAGGCGACAGACGAAAACCGGTGCAATGAACGGTGCACATGTACATTACGCCGTCGATCAGCTTCCACCGCTAGTCAAATAGTAAGCGAATATCCGCTCGCGTTGTGTCGCCTCATAGCCACCGGAGAGCCTTCGCAAAGTCATATGCAGCGCTTGTCGCCGGTCCTCGCGAGTCCTCCAGGCGCAAAAAAGCAAAAGATCATCCCTCCCTTCCTCCCTCCCCGCCCCTTGTATCCATCCTCCTTTGCTTCCCACACCTCGGTGCGGGGGAGAGGCCTCTGCTCACGTGGGAGATCGTTCACCTAGCCTGTTCGTCGTTTGGTCGACCCTTCAAGCGGTCAATCAAAGTCATGACTTTCCGGTACTTTTCCCGCTCGCGGCCGGACGAACCCTTCTTCTTGCCAGTGTAGTACTCGCTCGAGCTGTGGATCTTGTAGCCGAACACGCGCGGCACGTACGTCTGCGTCGGTGGCGGCACCACAAGATGGGAATGCGTCATAAGGAACACATGCGGGAACGTCGCGCCGAAGTACGCGCCGTCAATCTCTGTCAGCAGCAACACAATAACAACAGCAGCAACCAGTCAGCCTTCACCTCTCAACCAGCACCAGAAAGATATGGCAGGCAGACGTACGGCCTGCGCGCTGCGACTTGGGGAAGAAAATGTCGCGGCACTTGGGGCAGAAGACGTTGACGGTCGTGTGCCGCGGCACGTCCGACTGGCCCACGGGCAGCACGGGCTGGCCCTGGCAGTAGACGCGATGACAGCGGCCGAAGTCGACGTTCTGGTACTTTTCTAACATGGCGGCCATGCCCTTGGTGGTCAGGATGTAGCGCGCGTGGATGAGCCCGTAGAGCATCTCGGCCGCGGACTCGATCATCTCCTGCTGGGTCTGCGTGAGGTTGCTGTCGTTGGGCGTCTCGATGTCCAGGATGATGTCGAGCGCGTAGTCGTAGTACGGCACGATGCTGCTGAGCCCAGTGAGGTTGAAGTCGTCCTCGATGTAGTCCTCGTCCACCTCGCACAGGAACGAGTTCTCGCGCAGCGAGCAGAACCACGCGATCCAGCTCGTCTCCTCTTCTTCCTCGTCGCTGCCCTCCACGTCGTTGTCCTCGTCGTCGTCGTCATCGTCGTCGTCGTCCTCCAGAGCGCTCGAGTCCTCCTCCTCCTCCTCTTCTTCCTCCTCGTCCTCCGAGACGTTGGCGGCCGCGCGCGCCGCCTCGGACACGCGCAGCGTCTCCATGTGGCCAAAGAGCCGCTCCATCTCGGCCTCCTCCGCCGTCTGGCCGCCGTTCTCCGCGGGCTGGCTCATGGCTGCGTCTGTGTCTGCGATTGCGGGGCCTCTGGGCGTCCTCGCGGGCTCAGAGACACGGCGTCGTATGCAGCAGCGTCTCTAGAGTCGAGCCCTGCTGACAGGAGAGCGCGTCGACGCGTGCACAGCGAGAGAAGGCGCACCGAACGAGGGCAGCTCTAGTCGCACGTTAGCGATGACGGCCGTCGCTTTCCCGAGATAGAGCCAAGACCGCTGACCTGCCGATTTTAGTTGGTGTGGAGGTACACCAGGTGTAGCCATTTCGGGGAGGCGACTTGCCATGGCGGCGGCGGACCGAGACTGGTACGAGGCCTACGCCTCTGGAGAGGAGGCAGCGCGCGGCCTACAGGACGGAGAGGAGGGGTATGAAGAGGAGTATGAGGAGGTGGAGATCGAGGAGATGACGGACGACGAGCCCATGCACATCACAGGAAGGCTCTTCCTCGGCTCCATCGACGCGGCCAGGAACATCGCAGCGCTGAAGCGACAGCGCATCGGTGCGGCGCTTGCGTTGCTCGGCAAGGGGGAGGAGGACGCGGCTGTGTCGACGCACTCGAGCTCCGTGGGCGAGCAGTACGCACAGATGCAGATTGCCAGGAGGAGCTTCGAGATTGAGGACTCGGAGGACGGAGACTTGCTGCGCAGACTGCCCGAGATACTTGCCGCGCTAGGGAAGCTCGTGTAAGTGGGTCAAATGCTGCAATGGGCGTACAAGAGATTACATTGAGTGTGCTTGAATACTTGGTGTTGAACGACAACAGTGAGAAGGCAGAGCACGTGTTGGTGCATTGGTACGTCAAATGATGAGCTGGCGGCTGCATTCCGGTTTACTGAAGTACGTCGCTAAACGATCATGTGCTTTTTGTTGTTTAGTATTGCCGGTAGATCACGTTCCGCATCTGTAGTAGTCGCATGGATGCTTGCTACCGAGCCGAAGCTTTTAACCGTGCAAGACGCTGTTGACCGGATCAGGTGCGAACTATCATCGAAGACTTTAGGCCGAAGCAGTATGCATGTAAGCTAATGTATTGCGCTCGCTGCTCTCTAGGATCATCCGCCCATGGATTGAGATCAACCCTCACTTTATGCGGGATCTCCATGTGTTTCACGCGGTACTCACCTCGTCTGGTTCGACGCCGCTAAGCGTTGATAACGCTGCGCTGCTCAAAAGTCGGTCATTCCCGCGGCTGGACTTCGGTGCAAACCTCGTCGACGGAATTCTTCGCGGCACGAAAATCATCACAATGCGACTGCTATCGGACATCATGGGCGATCGGAACTCGGATTTAGGGGGCATTTTCCCGCACTCCGTCGTCGCTGCGACGACTTCAAGTACCGATGGCTCTTCATCAAGACCGCAGTTCGCGTACCTGAGGATCGATCAAGTCGAAACGCACGAGCTCAACGCCATTGACGACGCCACGCTGCGCAAATCCGGCTTCAACTCGACTGACGAGGTGTTGGCGGTTCTCAAGCAGTTCTACCCGGACGTGACGGCCACGACACCGCTGCTCATGCTGCACTTCCACTGCCTGTGTCGGTCCTAGTGTCAATGTAGCCATTTCATGTATATAATACATGTAGCCATCTGATTTCGCATTGTGTTCCGATACATAAATGCCATTTCTGTTTGACAACGATCAACAACACGAGCCATCGTATCGTAGCGAGGAAGTGTCATGGCGTCCACAGGGTTCTACACGCTGGAGAACGGCGCTCCGGAGCTGCTGCAGGAGCTGTATAAGACCGCGGAGGACAGCGCCGCGCCCACCAAGCCCGTGTACCTGGGCGACTCGCGCCGGGAGAACAACATCGAGGCGCAGGCGGACCCTGTGGAGCACAAGGGCATCCGTCTGCACGGCTGGGTCATCGGCTCCAACAAGACCCACATCACGCCCATCGACACAGTGGACGAGTAAGTTGGTAGCCATATTAAGTGCAATTGGGAGAGTTCTGACGCACAAATGTAACCATCTTGTCCTGCATTGCAGAATCGGCGAGGCGGCCAAGTTGACGCCGCCCGAGATGGTCTTCGGCAAGAACCAGCTGCTGCTGTTCCACGAGCCGTCTGGCGTGTGCTACAACTTCCTGGCGGTGGAGGCGCTCAAGGGCGCGCACTTCCCGCCGCCGGCCAGTGACCAGGCGCAAGACATCGTCGCCAACCAGCAGCTCAAGGTCTCCATCGCCAAGCACAACACCAACAAGTACGTGGAGCTCATAGGAGGGGATGAGGTGCAGTGTTTCGGTATTGATAGTGTCTGTTTGTTTGCTCCGTTTAATAGGGAGGACGTGAAGGAGCTCGACATCACGTACGACTGGACGTACTCGACGGACTACAAGGGGTCGCTGCAGCGTCTCACGAAGACTGAAGCCTCGCCTGCGACTTTTACAAAGAGTGATGAGGAGGCGAAGGTGGAGGCCACGCGCGAGCGCATCAACTTTGAGAAGCTCAAGGAGCGCGAGCCGATTCTTTGGTTCGAGGACGTCGGGCTGTACGAGGATGAACTGCACGACCACGGAACCTCCGCCATGTCCGTGAAAGTGGTAAGCGTTGCCTGAACCTCGAACTCCTGTCCGTGCCTGGTGTCATTACGCTAACTCGTCGTGATTGTCTTATTGCAGCGCGTGATGCCGTCGGGGTTCTACGTGTTGTCACGCTACTGGATGCGTCTGGACCACGTCGTCGTTCGTCTGCATGAGACGCGCATCCACCACCTCTTCGGCAACGACCACTTCATCCGTGAGTACACGCGCAAGGAGGAGCAGTTCGACGTGCTGTTCGCCAAGGGCCACCCGAAGAACATGGCCAACTACACCAACATCGACACGTTCCAGCACCTGCTGCCTGTGCGCGAAGCTGTGATCGAGAAGGTTTTGCTCCAGTGATCCGCTCGTCCGTCACGCGGGCTGGCGTTGTTAGTCTTGCATGCCCCGAACAACAAAAACGTAACCCGCGATTAAATACTGTGAAGTAACTAAACTACCTACCTACCAACTGTCGGTGCTCGCTCTAACAGCTCAAACACCCGCCCAAAATCCCTATCGATAGCCATCGGGCACCTCTGACCCCACCACAACGAGACTGTCCGCGCCAGAGGAGACGCCAAGAGCTGCAAACATGGAGCGAGCTCTGAAGGAGTACCACGATATCCTCCTTGCATCCACTGAGTACGTAGGAGTCTTCATCTCCAGGTCCGGATCAGCTGCACCAGCCACCCCATTGCCAACACGACTGAGCGCGTCATCGCCGGCATCACGTCCACCTGCGGTCGTCTCCTGCTCTGCCTCTTGTCTAGGGTCCAGCTGCGCCTCGTCGTTCAGGAAGAACGCCACCTGCCGTGTGTTCATGTCCAGGTACACTCCGACCGTGTCTCCCACAGCGAAGGCCTGCGCTCTGCAGACTTCCTCGCCGCTGTGGAAGATCACACCGGTCGCAGCGTACCCCACCGCCTCCTCTTGGGTCCCAGTCTCCAACGCGTCGGACGGCGCTACGCCCACAACGACGCCCCGAGGGTCCGCCATGCGCTCCACCAGCACCTCCCAGTAGTGGCGGCCGCTGGTGAAGTACAGATGCCGCAGCACGCGCGTCCGTTTGCAGTGAGAAGACTGCCAACTACCTGCACACGGGTCGGAATCAGACGGACGTTAGCTTCAAGTTCGAAGCGATTGCGACGCTGCTAGGCAGAGTCAGCAGCTGCAACGTCAGCTGCAGATACAGCAGACACGCCGCTATCGGTGGAGCATATCAACACTATCCAAGCATTGCCCACGTACGCGCAGCCATGACGTCGACAGCTCCCGCGCCGCATGTAGCCCCAACGGTTCCAACAGCCCTGCAATGCCACGAAGAGCTTCAGCTCCCTGCAAAGTACGAGATGGTGTGCACCACACCATGATCTATTTCCACCAATCCCGACGCGCCGATGAGCGCCAATTTTATCCAGTGGCGAAAGAGAGACGCAGCAGCAGAGCAATAGTGCCGAAGCCATGACCGTGCCGGGGCTGCCGCCGCGCCACCCGCCGCAGCCCAAGGCGGCGCCGTACGTGCATCTGCTGGAGCTCTCAGGCTTCTGCTCGGGCGAGAGCCGCGCGTCGCAGAGCGCCTTGGACCTGGCGGGCGTGCTGGGCGACAAGACGGCGCTGCTGCAACTCGTGACGGACCTCTACCGGCCCTTCGAGGCGCTGCACGTGGACCAGGTCGTGGCGCTGCACGTGGAGGGAACGACCATCACTCCTGCAGTGAATGGCAACGCAGACAAACCGACCAAGAAGACGCAGAGCGGAGCAGAGAAGACGAAGACGGTGGCGGACTCTGAGCCGGGGATGCACCACTTCTCGACTGGCATTGCGGGGGCCATTGCAGGCGCCAAACAGCTCGGTACGCAGGGCTGTTATAATAGTGTGGGGTTATTTAGAGATATCTGATCGGTTGTGTGTGCTTTTGTTGCAGCGTATGGAGAGCTCTCGGTGCTGAGGAAGAAGACGGCAAAGGTCCAGAAGAAGCGCGGACGCGATGCCACGGCCCCCGGCAAGGCCACGATCCGCAAGTCCAAATGCAAGCGTGTAGTGACCATTGACTGCAAAGAAGGGGAGTTCACTGTCGAGCTAAAGCGCAAGGCCATTGGAAATGCGGCGCGCGTGCTGCTAGGTGAGAGGAGATGACGAGGATGTGCAAGTTGAAACGTGGTTCTGACGTGGCAGTTGCTGTGGTTGGACTATATTCTACAGTTGCGGACTGGGTCAGCGAGGCGGACAGCATCTTTGCTGCACGAGATGCGCTGACAAGACTCGAATGCGACGTGGTGGGCGCGAGCTTCGTCGTGGCCACGAATGCGAGCGTGCTGAAGAGTCTGAAAGCCGCCCAAGTGGCGTTTAGCTGCTCGTGGAACCCGTCTCATGGGGCGAAGCTCAACACGTCGCTGCCTGGAGGCGATCCCAGTAACGGATCCGCCAGCTGCACCTGTCATCAGACTCAGGCGAACAGTGGACAGGCTTCGAGGAAGCGGCAGCGCACTGATATCGACTCGGATCCGTCTGTGCAAGTTGTGCTGACTCACCGAACCGCCGAGTACCAGGTAAGGCATGCTCGTGTGGGGTCCAAATATTATGTTTGCTATGACTGTGAAATTAACCTTTGAGTTTATCGTCTTGTCAGGCTAACGACCCGAGCGAAGATCGAAGTCTTAACATGGTGAAGTCGACAGATGAAGGTGTTCAGATTAACGCGGTGTTTGACGGCCACGGCGGCGCTAGGGCAGTTGAGTAAGCGTGCACCTTTGCTGTGTTTTACTGCGAGTGGGCTACAGCACTAACCATGACTGTTTACCGGATGCAGGCACCTCCGCACATCCCTGTGTCAAAGTATACTAGCTGAAGTGACCTCAAAGAACTCCAGTGATGAGGTTTCTGCAATTGTGAAGAGCGCCTTTTCTCGCTGCGATGACGAGCTGAAGCAGTCGCTCATGGCTCTTCCCCCAAATGTTCGCATGTCGAAGGGCTATTGCAACGCCGGCTCGTGCGCGGTTATTGCACTGTTCATCAACTCGGTTCTCTACATCGCGAATGTGGGGGACTGCGCTGCTGTTCTGGGCAAAATCAGCAAGGAGACTCAAGGACTTCAGGCTGTTGAAGTCTCAGTTGACCACTCCTGCAACAACCCGCACGAAGCCAAGCTCGTCGTCGAGCGTTCTCACGATCGGAACGCCATCAGAATGAGCAAAGACGATCAAGCCACTGGGGCTGGCATCGTGGGCGTTAAGCGCGTTGCTGGTAGCTTGGCGATGACCCGCGCGTTTGGAGACTTCTACCTCAAGTGTCCTGAGCTCAGCTCAGCTCCTTTCAAGGTCAGTCTCCTCATGTGCTAGCATGCCGTTCATTTGCTCACACTGATATTTGGTTTGTCAACACAGAGCAAAGTGCCTTACATCACCTCAGAACCCAGTATCACGACTGTGTACATGGATGGCAGCGAGAAATACGTCATCTTAGCGAGCGACGGATTGTGGGACGTCATGACCCCACAAGAAGCTGTGCATATCGTCGACAAGTTCGGTACGTTCACGCCAGATCCGATGACGCTACAACTTTACCAAGACTCACCGTATTTGGTGATCGATCATGCGTAGATTCCGATCAGGCGCTGTTCTTTTCAACAGCGAGCGCAGCTCTCATCCACGCCGCCTTAGAGAAGATCGCGCATCGAGACGGGCTCATGATGCACGAGCTGATGGCTATGCCACAAGGTCCGGTGCGGAGACGTTTCCACGACGACATTACCTGCACGGTGGTGTACATCAACCATCAGAACGGATCTCAGCCCGCTGTGGCGAGTGACAGTAAGACTGAGAGCACACCTGAGGCGTGAGTTCAAGGCTAGAAAGGCAGCTCAAGCTCTATTCCGACATCATCATGTTCACATATTCAATGTAGTTGATGTTGCCGTGTTGATCAGGCTCGAGCTGCGCATAGATCAGGTAAATGAATGGTGAGAATGAAAGCAACAGAAAGCGTTGTTAGTGTTGTGGTTGCGTACCTGGCTGATGAGCTCCTGGGCTTGGTCTGGGGAGATCCGATCTGCGCCGTAGGTCGTCAGCGCTATGAGCAGCTTGTCGGCCATGATGAAGCCTGGAGCGGAGGAGTTGCCTTCGAACGCTTTGAACGCGCTTTTGACTTGCTCTGCCGTGTACGTGGCGTTCACTTTCCTCGACATGACCGCCACGAACTCATCGAAGTCGATCTCGCCGTTGCTGTCCTGGTCGATTTCGTTGATCATGAGGTCGATCTCTTCGGGGGACGTATCGATGCCGAGCGTGTCCATCAACTCGCCCAGCTCCACTTTCGTGATGGATCCACCGCGGTCCTAAGGCAATCAATAGCGTGGGTAAGTCTTCAATTATTGTGAATGTTTGGGTAGAGAGATACAAGTGCTCGCACCCGATCCACCAGGTTGAAGATCTCGCGGAACTCGGCGAGTTCTTCGGAGCTCAGCGCGTGACTCATGCGATTCGAGGCAAATTGTAGAATGGCGTGGACTCAATGCAGAACGGAAGGCAACGGTTCGTGCACAATCTCATTTTGACGGATGAAACTCACTGCGGTGAAACAGCTTCTCAAACTTACTCAATATATGAATTGTTGACGACTTCAAAGCGGTGGCAGGGTGCTCGGTACCAATCGGTGGAAACCTGCGGACACTTTGTCGCCCCGAGGGGTTTGTGCTGCCTTCTTGCCTTTAAGCCGCAGTAGTTGGAAGAGCGGAGTGCTGGGGTGCGACTTTCCGAGGTCAGTTTTGTGTGGAATAACCAAGGCGCTCAACGTGCTGCCACATCCTTGTTTGGGCAAGCTCTTGCGCTGGAAAGCGCGCCACACTTTCTGGATACGGTGTCCAGCGGCTTCTTCACGGGCAGACGTCTCCTCATTGTGGGACTGCACGAAGGTTGAGGCCCGTAGAGACATTGAGAACTGGTCGTGGGAGATTGGAGCTTGGCGTCCAGCCATCAGCATCATCGCGACGCAAGTGAAACTTGGTATCGGTGAGGAGTTTTTCTTCGGTGCGTCGTCCTCAGCTACTCGGCTCGCCGGGCTCTTGCCTGCGTTGGGTTCCTTGCTTAGCTGCTGGACTTTCGTCACCTCGCAGCATTCCGCTGCCTGTGGTGAAACTGTGGGCTCCTCCTTCACGGGTTTCTTCAGGTCGTCATCCTCTGTATTTGAGTACGAATCTGTGAGCGTGCTACGAGGGCCCCCACCGACCAGCAGTAGAATATCACGCAGAAGCACAGTGATCAGTTGCTTCTGAGCCCCGAGATAATCCGCCACGTAGTGCGCCCATTGAAGCATCAGATCGATCACCAAGTACATGATCGACAGAGCCAGCACAAGAGCAGCCCCAACTTTCCAAGACTTTTGCGGCTCCAGAGCTTCGTCAGTAGCTTCATCCGGCAATGCATCAAATGCAGCGTCGCACGATCCGTTACCTGCTGGCAACGCACTCTCCATAGTGTCCAGATCAATGGCTTGGAGTTGGGCGTCATGCTCGGACTCGAAAACCTTTTCTTGTGAGTCTGAGCCTGAATCCTTGATGGGACTGGTGTCAGACGCGGTGGCTTGGCTCAACTCGATTAGTTCGTCCTGGTTATCTTGGGTGGCTTCGACTACTTCGTAAAGTTCATCAACAGCTTCACCGTCCTTGACAACTTCTGCAATTATTGGCGTCGAGGTCACCACTGCGTTAGCGTCTCCATTGGTGTCTGCCACGGGGACCGCAGGTTCTTCGACTTCGCTGACCCCCTCGACCGAATCAACGTCTTCGTCGGAAGGGTGCCCCGCTGCTTCAGCCTCATGAGCCGTCGGTGCTTCACTCTCATCCACCAAGGGATTGTGAAGCTCAGCGATCATCTGTTCAACCGTAGCAAGGCGTTCAACAAGGTTCAGCGACTCCGAGTCTTGTAAGTGGACTTCACTGCTGCTTGCACTCTCCTGATCGCAAGGCGTCAGCGCGAGCATCCAATCAAATGCCAACCTCAACGCTGCGCCAAGCTTCTCCGCGCACTTGTCTGCACTCTTTTCATCAACTCCACTGTGAGCAAAGTCGCAGAAGTCCATCGCCACATCCTCCGGGTCGTTCTGCAGCCAAGACGCCGAAGTGGACTCGCCATCGTGACGAAGTACGTGCTTGGCCACCACAAACCCCGGCAGCGCACTGTCAGCATTCGGTTTCTTGCAGAACCGCTGGAAGTCCACAACTTCATCCAGCGCCTCTCGAATGGCCCCAGTGCACCTCGTGACATCCACGTTATGCTCGCGACAGAAGCTCTGGACCTGCGCCGGCACGTGGCGCGTCACGTCCAGCTTCATCAGCACCGGCTGCACGTCCAGCAGCATAGACAGCACCACCCAAACGGGAGTCGAGTCTGACGTAGCAGCAGAAGTCTCGAACAGGATGGGCTCGACATCCCGCTCGACGATGGAGACGGAGGCGTCTGAGAGCGTCATAAACAGTTGGCACAGCGCCACAAGCGCCGTCTTCCTCCACGCGCCGCCATGAACCATATTGGATCGGTTGTCGACTTCACTTCACCCAGCTTTATCTTCTTGGGAACTGAGCCAAAGCCCCCTGCCGCATGATCCCGTTCTCGCTCTGCCCGTTGACATGCGATGCGCTCTGCTCTGCGTCGTTTCGTTTCGGCAGCGGATCTTTTTCGAACGCTTCGCAGCCAATCACACGGCGGTATTACCGCCACTTCAACTGCTTACTTCAGAAGATCGCAACACCGGAGCTCAAAGTTGAAAATTGAGAACTCGAGCAGTGCCCCCTTCCTTTCACCACAATCTAATTCATTCTCATTAGACTCAGGCGTCCGTCCTAAGCTCTGCCCGTGGCTAAAAGAAAACAGAAAATCAAACGTGGTATTTACTTCATCAAATACAACTGGTGCGCGACTTGCACACTTTCAGCCGTGCATCTACATACCATTACCGTCCGCCGCGCCGCCAAACTGCCCAGCAGCTCCGAAGCGGCCTTGGGCGCCGAAAGCAGGGCCCCCAGTTCCGAATCCACCGCCATTCATGCCTCCAAGACCACCAAACCCGCCTGCACCTGCGCCAAAGCGCCCACCGAATCCGCCCATGCCTCCTCCCATTTGACCACCGAGACCACCGAGACCACCGAGCTGGCCACCTGCTCCAAAAGCACCAGCACCGGGAAGCGCGCCAGCTCCGCCGAATCCACCAGCGCCGAGTGCTCCAGCCCCTCCAAGCGCCCCAGCTCCTCCAAAACCGCCAGCACCAGCTGCACCCGCACCAGCTCCGGCAAGAGCAGCACTTCCTCCGTTGCGGGATGCCGGTCCAGTGCCGCTCGGCGTCGTTGGAGCAGGAGTCACAGGACCGCCGTTGCCCAGACCTGTCCCCGTGACGCTTCTCGCCCCAGCACCGTTCATCAATCCATTTGTAGCAGCGCTTACTTGGCCACGCCCAGCAGCGCCGCCTCCAACTCCAAGGCCAAGCGGATTGCCACCTCCGATTCCACCGCCCGGTTGTCCAAAGCCACCAGCACCTCCGAATCCGTTGCCGCCACCAAGGCCGCCCATTGCACCGCCGAGCGAGTTGCCTGCACCAAACTGCTCGCGATCACGAGTCAGAGGGCCCACGCGCATCGGTCCACGCGGACTTTGCGCGAGAGCACCGCTGTTGAGCAAGGCGACCACGGCAACTGCGAGTGTAAGTCGGGTCGACATGACGAATGAGAGGAAGAGTTTTCGGTTAATTGTGAGGGTGGTCGCCGCGAATGGTGGGCGCTTGGCGCTGGAAGTCGAAATTGGAAAGTGAGTTCTGGAAAATGGTGGTGGTCGGGGGTAGGAAGACATCCACCGATCAATCCAGGTAGATATGTTGATGGGAATCTCCAAGTCTCTCGTCCGACCACCTCCACATCTTTAGTGTCATCCTAAACCGACACGAAGCGACCATACCCTGTTTGTCAAATGACTCGTGTAGATGGTTTTCTTGGCTGGCTACGATCCAGGGCGGGTGGTGACTTTGGAATTCGTATTGGAATTTTCACCTTACCAGAAAAGAAAATCATGATTTGGACAGTCAAGTTGAAGTTGCCTCATTCCTACTTCATACCACTACTTAACAAAATCCTTGTGCTTTGCAGCAATCACTACAGCAGCAGCAGTGCCCGCCGCCTGCCAAGAAGCCGCGCGTCTCGAGCCCCAGCCGCGACGTCTGCATCGTCGGCGTCGCGCGCAGGCCGTGCGGGTCCTTGCAGGGCAAACGCTCGGCTCTCAAGGCCTCCGACCTGGCCGGCGTCGCCATCAAAGGTGCAGCAACGAATACACTTGTATCATCTGTATCATCACTAAAGTACACTAACTAAATTATTCTACGCAGAGGCGCTGAGCCGCGTCGGAGTGCAGCCCACCGACGTGGAGGAGCTCATTCTGGGCCACGTCATCTCCGCCGGAGCGGGCCAGGCCCCTACCAAGCAGGCGGCAGTGAGCGCGGGCCTCCCGCAGTCCGTCGTCTGCTCCTCCGTCAACAAAGTCTGCGCCTCAGGCATGAAAGGTGGCTCGCAGTAGGTTATCCTTAGAGTATTAATGCAGAAGAGTACTGACTGTGCTTTCTATTGCAGCGGTGATGCTGGGGGCCCAGTCCATTATGCTGGGACAGAGGGATGTGGTCGTGGTGGGCGGCATGGAAAGAAAGCTCGCGGTGGGACGAGATACGGGGACTTGGTCTTCTCGGACGCACTGCAGACTGTATGTGCGGTAGTGTGTGGGTCTGGGTCTGATTGTCAAATAGTTTTCGTGTACTGATGAGCTGCTTCGCTTCGGTAACAGGACGGACTGTTCAATGCCTTTGAGAACATTCCGATGGGGGACATCGCAGAGGAGTGCGCTCGCAAGCACGACATCTCAAGAGAGGCGCAGGACGCATATGCGGCTGAGAGCTACCCTTGAGCTCGCGAGGCCACGAAGAACGGCAAGTTTAAGCGCGAGGTGGTCGCGGTGCAGGTTCCTCCGGCCAAGCGTGGTGCAGAGCCGCAGACGGTGACGGAGGACGAAGAAGCTGTAGCGAGGGAAGTGAACGTGGCGTCGCTGGGCAAGCTTCGACCCTGTTTCAAGCCGAGCGAGGACTTTGGCCCAACTGTGACTGCTGGCAACGCGTCGCCCATTAGTGATGGAGCTGCCGCGCTGGTACTCATGAGTCGCGACAAGGTCGAGGCGTTGGGACTCGGTGACACGGGCCGCGTGTACCACAAGCTTGCCACCGATGCAAGGTCCAAGCGGTCGTGCGCAGCTTTGCGGACGCTGAGCAGAAGCCGCGGTTGTTTACGACGTCGCCAGCTCTGGCCATTCCCAAGGCGCTGGCGAACGCAGGGCCCACTCAAGACGCTGTCGACTACTTCGAGATCAACGAGGCGTTTTCGGTAGTCGCCTGCGCGAACACGAAGCTACTGGGTCTGGATGCAGCCAAGGTGAATGTCTACGGCGGTGCTGTGGCCATTGGACACCCGCTTGGTTGCTCCGGGGCGCGGATCGTCGTCACGCTGTGCTCCGTGTTACATCAAGAAGGGGGCCGCATTGGTGCGCCGCTGTGTGCAACGGTGGAAGAGGTGCCTCGGCGATTGTCATCGAGAAGGCGTGAGCGAGTACTTCAAAATTGCGGCTAGTTATTGTTCTGTCCTTTATTCACGAATACAGAATGAGCTCAAGGCTAACGACAGCACAGCGTGTTGTCGAATGCATCTGACAGTGGTGCGCGTGCTAACCTTTGCCCGATCTAACTGCAGTCTTAGTCATCGGTGGCAAGCTTGTGGTACACGCGGCCCGTGTAGAGAATTGTAAGAAGTGAGATGCCGATCAACGGGGCGAACGTCCAGTTCAGCACATACTGAATGCCCGGCAGACCGACGACCGTGATCGCAACGTCACCAATGGCTCGACCTAATGTGCCGGCTTCCGTGGCCAACAGGCCGGAGTTGAAGGTGCCCTTCGCGAAGGACTTGGGGATCGTCTTCGACAGCAACGCCATATTAACGCCCTCCAGCACATTCGTGCTAACGAAGATGATCACACCTCCAGTGATGAACTGCGCCACCGAGTAGTGGCCGTAGTTCACGATGATACCCACACCGACGACCATTGCAGCCTCTGAAAGAATAATCAGCTCTCGGTCTTCGTACCGGAAACTCATCCAGCCCACGACCATGTTGGTCGGGAACATCAGAAGTCCCAACGCTGCAAGGTACAGACCGTTGTTAGTGGAGCCCCAATTGAAGTGGTACATGGCGATCGTCGAACTGGCCGTGATCAGGCACTCCAGCACCAGCTTGAGAACGATGTAGATCAAGAGCGAAGCCACCACCGGCACGTTGTACCACAGCGACGACAGCGGCGGCGGGCTGCCAACCATCGACGTAGAGCGCGAAATCAGAGGCGTGGTCTCGCCCATTTCAGCCGCCACTGCCGCGATACTCGAGTTGCCCATTCCGTTCTCCAGCATGGATCGCCTGCGCTCCAGAAAGCGCTCCCTCTCCATGCGATCGGGCTCCGCGAACCAAAACAACAGAGCGATGAGATAGATCGTCCACAGCGCAAACATGACCCAGCCAGGCGAGGTCTCCGTCGTGATATCGATGCCAGCAACGTTGTAGTCGGGAAGGTAATGCAGCGCAGCAGCCAGTCCGGGTCCTGCGGCCATGCCAAGCGCGCTTGCAGTCACGAACAGAGCCGAAGCCTGCGTGCGTTCTTCCCGAGAGTAGTTATCAGCAATGTACCGGCGGTTAATCGCGCGAGCGCCACCAAAACCGTTGAGCATACGACCCGTAAGGGCCATCGCGACACTGTCGTATGAAAGAGCCATACCGTAGAGCAGGTTGCCGAGGATAAGGCACACGGTGGCAAAACTCAGCGAAGCCTTGTAGGATCGGTTGGCCCACCAACTGTACAGCACTGCACTGGCAAGCGAGGCCACGGGTGTCATACCCACAATGACACCGCTCATGGAAGCCTCCGCTCCGAGCTCAGCCGCGTACTTGCCACTCGTCGGCGCCACGATGTAGTAGTTGGTCATGTACAGGAACGTGTTGAGCATGTTCAGCAGTCGCGAGGGCTCCGACGCCTGCTTCAGCCGCTTGAGCATGTCGTACGTCTCGTCATCCTCGTCCTCCGACGACTCTGAGTCGAAGATCAGCGAGCGCGCGGCCACCGTCTTGACGTACTGCGTCGACTTGTGCAGTCTGCGCCGCGCCTGGCCGATGCGATTGAGCACGGGCTCGTCCTCGGAGATGGTGCGCGTCAGCGTCTTGCTGGTCGCGTCCGCCGCCAGCTGCACCTCGAGCTTGCGCAGCTTGGTCAGCGCCGAGCGGATGCTGGCGATGATGGCCGAGATGCCCTCATCGTGGTAGAGCTGCTGCAAGTGCGAGGCCTGCGAGTCCGTGCGCGACGACAGATACGAGCCCATGATCTTGTGCTCTTTGAGCGTCTTGTCGTGCTTCTTGAGGATCTTGCGGATGCCCGTCGCGTTCAGCTCCACGAAGTGCAGCAGCTTCACGAGGTCGTCCCCCACGTGGCGGTACATGTCGGCGATGGAGTGCATGGCCTCCAGGTCCCCGGGCGCCAGCTCCTGCTGCTGCGCGCGCAGGCCCTGCAGCGTCGTGGCGAACTCGCCCTGCTTGGTCAGGAAGAAGAGCACCACGCGCTCCACCTCCGAGTCCAGCGCGTGCTTGAAGTTCTCCTGCTCATCGCGCGTCTCCTCGCGCTTGGCCTCCACCACCTTGCGCAGCTTCTTCTTCAGCTGCTTGTACTCCAGGTAGTGCCTGCAACACATCGCGAGAGATCACGCATTAGCTCTCTCTCTCTCTCTATCTACCATCCGATCCGATAGGCCACGCGCGACTTGGGACTCACCCCTTCCACTCGGGCCGCTGCGCCGCCGCCAGCTTCTTGGCGAACTGCACCATTGTCGTCGGGCCGGGTCCGGACAGGTCGGGGAACGGAGAAGAAGTGAAGTGAGTTGTGCTTCTCCTCCGTCGGCCGGAGACTGCGATCGCCCGCGAGGTCCGAAATATCCGAATGCCGTGAAATGTGACGGTTAGGGCTGTCAGCAGGAGTGCGATTGGCCGCGAGCGCGGCTTTTCCGACGTGGATTTCCGCCAATGGTGAGGCGTGCATTGTTAAGAGAGTGGTATCCCGGGGTTTAAGGACATGGGATTTTGGCGGAACATTGTGTATTCTTACTGACTTCCTCCGCTTATAGTGGACAGGGTATATACCGATACAGGTACCGGTACCAGTTGTCGATTAGCTGCCACTTTTTTGCGCTTTGCTCACTTTATTGGTACAACGCCGCTAGCCGCCTGAGCGAGCCTGTCGCGCTTGACACCTCGCGGCAGGCAACAGGCTGCCACTGCAAAGCCTTGAGCAACACGCGCCCGCGTGAGGCTAGTGCCGTTGCAATGCTTTGCCCTGGCTTTAGAACATTTTTGAAGTAAACTTTTTATTAAAGTCTAACTCGGTAACATGTGTCATTGGTCGATGGGAACAGCGTGATGCAAGCAAACCACTCTCCGAACGTCTGTATAGTATACGTGTGCCGCAGCAGCGCTTAACACTAGCATAGGTAGTGGGTACTGGCAGCAACCGCGTCCAGGTAGCTCTAGGCTGCAGCCGTAGCTGCGTGAAATGAATGGAAGCTCCATCGCACCGATATATTACCGGTGGAAACGTATCGGAATGATTTGTGTGGAACTTATAAGCGGAGTCGAGAAGGCCCTCCAAATCCTGTGATATGATTGGGCTCTCTTATATGAGGTTGTCCACTACAAGCGGAGGAAGTCGGTATGGTTTCCCACCCGGGATAGCGACGTGTGTCACTGCAGCAGTAAGATCCAGTACATACTCATCTCATGCTGCACTGCTTGGCGGGGACATCCAGCCTGCCAGCAATGACCGACTACACTGTGAGCTGACTTATGTGTATGCAGGATTAAGCATCTTGAGCTCTTATATCGGCTGAAGCATTCGCCTTCAGCTGAAGGTGCCAGGTTTTGTTACACGCCGCTGCGAATCTTTGGCGTGTTCGGGCATAACCGGGTGAGTAATCCGAAATTTGGCAGGCGTCGCAATGGACGCCGCAAGCCCCTGGCTTTTGAGCAAGGCCACATAGGCCACCAGTGGGAAACAACGCCTCGCTCCAGGCGTCGCTCTGACGCGAAATCGCTGTCGTGAAGGCATCATCGCCTCCCAGCCACTCAAGTCGGAGGTCATCTTGGACTACAGGCCAACGACCGCAACAACAACCGCGTCTTCGGTATCATCAATGGCTGTGCTACATGTAACTCTCTCCATATTGCTGTTGATAGAGTGAAGGAAGGAAATTACGTTGGTTGTCGATCGATAGCCGTTCTGCTAACTACAAATAACGACAGCTTACAAATTGAATCCGTGGAATCCAAGTCTGACGTGCAGGCATTGTGGGTTTGGCAAACCCCAAGCGTTGAAGTATCGAGGCAACTAACTCTGCGTTGATGTCCAGCTCTTCAAAGTGCCGACAAATCAGTTGGCAGTGCCTTCCAAACGAAGCGACCAGACTTTCGTGCACTTGGTTGCTCAGTCATCTTGTAGGTCAGGAAAGGCAGTAGACGCCATTCCAGATCAAGCACGACTTGTTGACCGTCATCGACGAGCGCGTCAAGGTCACGTCCGAGGCGCTTCAGGGCATCCGCGTCATGAAGTTCTACGCATGGGAGGAATCACTAGCGCATCGCGTTGAGAAGATCCGAGCCAAGGAGATCGCACTGCTGCGCAAGTTCCACTTGTGCCAGGTGGCCAACAACGTCATGCTGTTCCTCACGCCGGCCTTCCTCTCGGGCGTCACACTCGGAATCTACGTGGCCATCAACGGGACCATCTCGGTCATCGATGCGTTCACGCTCATCGCGATGGTAAATATCTGCCGAACCGCGCTGATTCAGTTGCCTGTTACGATTGCAGCATGCTCGCACGCCCGGATCGCCTTCGCTCGAATTGGCTCGTACCTTTCGAGCGACGAGTATGGCCCAGCGTTGCTCGAGGATGACTCGAACCACGGCCACGGGACTGCTGTTGTCCCTGTCGGTGGCATTTCCGTACGTGAGGCCAACTTTGAGTGGCCAGTGCTCAGAAACACGCCCGACGTCGTTGTCGTCACGCCTGCTCCTGATGAGGTCTCGGAAATCATGTTCGACCTGGATCGCAGTGCGAGAGTCAGCTTCAATCTAAGCACTCCCAGTGTTGTTAACACTGGATTTGGAGTCGACGCGAGGACAGTGACCATGAGCGAGAGCAGAAGAGCTTCCGACTGGAGGGCGTGAACTTGGAGATCGACCCGGGCTCACTCGGGATGGTGATCGGCACTGTGGGGGCCGGCAAGTCGAGCATGATAAACGCGCTGCTGGGCGAGATGACACTGAAACGCGGCAGCTTTGATATCCGAGGCGGCATTTCCTACGTCAGCCAGGACACTTGGATCCGCAACTTGAACGTGCGTGACAACATCCTGTTTGGCGAGCCGTTCGACACTGAGCGCTATGATACCGTGTTGAGGGTCTCTCAACTGGCGATGGACTTGCACGCGTTGCCTCACGGTGATCAAACGGAAATTGGCGAGCGAGGCATCAACCTCAGCGGCAGACAGAAGGCGCGCGTGGCCATCGCCCGCGCCTTGTATCGATCGCATTACGAGATCCTTCTGCTGGACGACCCATTGAGCGCGGTGGACCCCCATGTAGCGCACGGTATCTTCGACGAATGCGTCATGGGCCTGGCCAGATCGAGGACCCGAATTCTAGTGCTCAATAGTCACTACGATCTGCTGTCACAGGCAGACAAGGTGCTGGTGGTCCGTGACGGCGCCATTGCTGGCGAAGGAACATATGAAGAGGTACTTGCGATGTTCCCTGACCTTGGGATATCACCTGGAACTGCGGCCACACCCAATGCAGCGGCTGCACGTACTGGTGACGGCGATGACCTTACATTGGAAGACGCTCTGCCAGACATTGAGAAAATTCCGGCGGAGGCTGTGGCCGCGGTGGTGGAGAAGTCCACAGATGAACCGAAGGCTGAAGATGCTAGAGAAACTGGTGGCCAGCTTATCCAGGCGGAGGACCGAGTGAAGGGAACCGTGAACATGGGCGTCTACAAGACATACTTCGACGAATCGGGTCTCAACGGGTTCGTGGTTATCTTCCTCATCGTGGTGTTCTACACCGTCAGTCAGGCCGTGCGTGTGGTGGTGGACTGGTGGCCTAGCCACTGGGCCAAGAACATGCCTCGTCGGGGTGTTGATCCGACGTATTCGGGCGAGACTTACGCGTGGTGGTACGTGGGCCTGATCATATTGGCCACGTTGATGACACTTGGTCGCGCTCTCTTCTTGACAGAGAGCTGCGTGCGTACGTCCAAGAATCTGCACAACGACCTGTTCCGTCGAGTGCTGGCGGCGCCAGTGAACCGGTACTTCGACGTGACCCCCGTTGGGCGCGTGCTCAACCGCTTCTCCAACGATCTCGATCAACTGGACTCGTCACTGCCAAAGGACTACCAGCTCGTAGTGCAGCACTCGTCGATGGCCTTGGGCTCGTTAGTGGTGTCAGCGTTCGCGAGCTACTGGATCGCGGTGGCTTACATCCCCATCATCGCCATCTTCTTCGTCACGGGCCAATTCGTCAAGAAAACGAGCTGCGAAGTCAAGCGTCTCGAGGGCGTGACCCGCACGCCCGCGTACAACCTCTTCAGCGAGACGCTCTCCGGGCTGCAGACCATCCGCGCCTTCAAGATGCAGGCCACTTTCGAGCGCATGAACAAGAAGGTGGTGGATGAGAACGCCAACATGTACATCACGTTCTGGGCCGCCGGCCGTTGGCTCGCAGCGCGGCTCGATATGCTCTCCGTCGTCATTATCGTTGTCGTCACGGCTTACTTAGTGTCGACCAAGGGCCAACTGAACCCCATGACGGCAGGCATCTCGCTCACGTACTCGCTCATGTTGACGTCCGTGATTCAGTGGGTCCTGCGATCCTTTGATCGTGTCGACAGCGCCATGACGAGTGTGGAGCGATTGCTGTACTTCCGCCAGATCCCGCAAGAAGTGGACGCTCCGGACTGCACGCCGATCAATTCGTCGGTGTGGCCTTCACAGGGCGCCATCAAGTTCGACAACCTATGCCTCAAGTACCGACCGGAGCTGCCCCTCGTGCTTCGTGGCGTGAGCATGGACATCCGTGGTGGTGAGAAGGTTGGCATCTGTGGACGCACGGGTGCCGGCCAGAGCTCGCTCATGATCGCGCTGTTCCGCATCTGTGAGTTCGAGAGCGGCAGGGTGACCATCGACAGCCTCGACATTTCGAGCTTGAAGCTACACGACCTCCGTCGCAGCCTGGCCATCATCCTGCAGGACCCGTGCTCTTCAGTGGCCCGCTGCGAGAGAATCTGGACCCGTTCGGAGAGTACTCGGACGCTGAGATCTGGACGGTGATGAAGCAGGTTCACATGGCCGCTACTCTCGAGAAATGGGGGGCGGGTCTTGACGTCCGAGTGCGGTGACAACCTGTCCGTCGGCCAGCGCCAGCTCCTCTGCATCGGCTGCGCACTGCTCAAGAACAGCAAGATCGTCGTGCTAGACGAGGCCACCGCCAACGTGGACACGACCACCGACAGCCTCATCCAGGCCACCATCTGAGAGACCTTCGCGTCCAAGACGGTGCTGATCATCAGCCACCGCATCCACACGATCATGCACTGCAACAAAATCGCGGTCATGGACGCTGGCCAGGTGGCCGAGTTCGGATCGCCCGCGGAGTTGCTGTCCCAGCCTGAATCTATCTTCGCGTCACTGGCCAAGCGTTTCGAATTGAAGTAAACCTCTCGATGCGTTTTTGTTGCTTTACCTACTTGGTGCTTGTCGCTAGAAAACTGTAGGAGCACCACGCTTACCCACCCCAAAGGGTATTTTACCGAGGGTATTATACCGTTGATTTCAAGCTTTATGAATGGTAGTGAAATCGGAACCGAGTGTCCGACTCGGGAACTGGTTGAAGTTGGCCAATCGATTTGGCTCGCAAGATGCAGACGCTTCCTGGAGTCCTTATCGTCGTCATTTTCACTGCATCATACAGCAATCCAACCATGACTTGAAGGCGTGTGGTGAGATCAGATCTTCTCTTCGCGCCGAGACGGCGATAATTTTGGCCGGCACGATCCCACTTGCTTTAGTCGAGCTGTGCTGGAAATTGGGCTCAACATATCGCTCAGACGCGGAGGGAGGAAGACCGTCCGCGGAAATAGCTCCATGAAGGCTGCCAAGGCAACGAAGGTCATGCGATGCGATGTGAAGGCACCTTACGCGTTGCTCTCATATTTATAGTCCCGAATTCCAACCTTCCAAGGGGTTTCCAGCATTGGTTTCCTCCATCCTAATTTGGTACTCGCCTTGCCCCGCCACGCGTGACTTGTCGCGGAGCCTCCAATCGCATGGCCTCGCCTCGTGACCAGACTGGTCCTGACCCGTAACCACCGGCCCAAGTCGGGACGTGCGAGCATTTCCGAAAAACCCCGGCCGCCGGGAGAAACGAGAGAGCTCGCTTCACGAATACGAAGACTTAAGACCGACGAGGACCCACCCACGCCGCTGGAGCCGAGCTGGCAGGAGGAAATAGGACACGTCCCTGAGCCACCGATAGAGCGAGGCGGACAACGGGACGAGATCGATCGGGGCCACACCCTGCCTGCTATTTGCTAGCAGGTAGTCAGCCGGGTGGGGGGCCATGATTCACTCGGAGCAGCCCAAGGGCGGCGGCCAGTTCAAACTCGTCACCGGTGACTTGATCCGACTCATCGAGACGCAGCATGAGCACCAGGCCGAGCAGCTAGCCAAGTTAGGGGGCATCACAGGCGTCGCGGCGTCAATAGGAGTCGATATCACACAGGGCCTCAACAACAACGACAGCGCCGACCTGAAGCGGCGGGAAGACACGTTCGGGTCCAACTACATTGCTCCACCGAAGGCCAAGACGCTGTTCGAGCTCATGTGGGAAGCCTTCCAGGACATGACGATTATCGTACTGACAATCTCGGGCATCCTCTCAGTCATCCTCGCAGTGACTGTGGGCGACCACCCGGATACAGGTTGGATCGAAGGCGCTTGTATTATTTTCGCAGTGTTGGTGGTGACCATGGTGACAGCTATCAACGACTACCAGAAGGAGGCACAGTTCCGCGCGCTGAACGCCGTCAAGGAGGACGAGAAGATTAAAGTTATTCGCAATGGGGTGCCGGCCGAGGTGAGCAAGTTCGGCCTCGTGGTGGGGGATGTCGTTCGTGTCGACCTCGGTGATATCGTCCCGGCGGACGGGATCGTGTTCGACCAGAAGGAGCTCAAGCTGGACGAGTCGGCCATGACGGGCGAGTCGGATCTGATGGTCAAGAACACCGAAAACCCGTTCCTGCTTTCGGGTACCAAGGTCATGGAGGGGCTGGGCAAGATGCTGGTTGTGTGCGTGGGCGAGAACTCTCAGGCAGGCATTATCAAGAAGCTGATTCTCGGCAAGGAGAAGGACAAGGAGAAAGCCAAGGAGGCCGAGAAGAAACCCACCCCATCGCCCGCAGCGACGACGTCACTCCCCGACCCACCGAAGGCTGCGAATGGCACCGTGGAGCAGAAGGAGGAGTACGACAACGGCGAAACCCAGTCACCGCTCGAGGCCAAGCTGAACCGGCTGACCATTCTCATCGGCAAGCTCGGCACGACCGTCGCGCTTCTGGTGTTCATCATCATGTCGATCCGCTTCTCGGTGGATACGTTCACCGGCAGCGATAAGTCCGAGTGGAAGGCCAAGTACGTCAGCGAATACCTGCAGTTCTTCATCGTGGCCATCACGGTGCTGGTGGTGGCCATCCCTGAGGGTCTGCCGCTTGCGGTGACCATCTCACTGGCCTATTCGGTCAAGAAGATGCTGACGGACAACAACCTCGTGCGGCACTTGGACGCGTGTGAGACCATGGGCAGCGCCACGACAATTTGTTCCGACAAGACCGGCACGCTCACGACCAACCGCATGACCGTCATGCAGATCTGGATCGGAGGCCAGGAGTTCACCTCGGCCTCGCAGGCCACCGATGAAATGTCCGAGTCTACGCGCGACGTCTTCTGCAACGGCGTGTGCATCAACTCGACCGCTGAAATCCTCCCGGCCAAGGTCGCGGGTGGCCAGCCCGAGCACACGGGCAACAAGACCGAGTGCGCACTGCTGCAGTTCGTACGCGACTGCGGCGTCGACTACCCGAGCGTGCGCGCCAACACAGAGGTCGGCCACATGCTGACGTTCAGCAGCAAGAAGAAGCGCATGTCGGTCGTGGTCAAGCGGTCGGCGTCGACTTGCCGGATCTACACGAAAGGTGCGACGGAAGTGGTGCTGGGCCTCTGCAGCAAGATGAAGCGTCTGGATGGCTCCGTGGCCTCACTAGACCCGACCCAGAAGGAGATCATCGGCACGTCTATCATCGAGAAGTACGCGTCCCAGGGCTTCCGTACACTTTGCCTGTCCTATCGCGACGTCGAGACCTCGGCCGAGGAGATCAGTCAGTGGGCCGATGACGACATCGAGAAGGACTTGACCTGCATCGCCATTGTGGGCATTGAAGACCCCGTGCGCAAGGAGGTACCGGACTCGATCAAGCTCTGCCATCGTGCTGGCATCATCGTGCGCATGGTCACGGGTGACAACATCACCACGGCCCGCTCCATCGCTGGCAAGTGCGGCATCATCTCGCCGGGCGATGGCTCGTTGGTCATTGAAGGGCAGGAGTTCCGCACGCGCGTGCTGGACGGCAACGGCAACATCATCCAGTCCGAGTTCGACAAGATCTGGCCGCTTCTGCGTGTCATGGCGCGGTCGTCTCCCAAGGACAAGTACACGCTTGTCACGGGCCTCATGCAGTCGAATCTCATGCCCTACGGCCCGCAAGTCGTTGCTGTTACGGGTGATGGCACGAACGACGCCCCCGCTCTGAAGAAGGCCAACGTGGGTTTTGCCATGGGCATCAGCGGCACGGCTGTGGCCAAAGACGCCTCGGACATCATCCTTATGGACGACAACTTCACGTCCATCGTGAGCGCCATCAAGTGGGGCCGCAACGTCTACGACTCGATCGCCAAGTTCCTCATGTTCCAGCTCACGGTGAACGTCGTGGCCATCACTCTCGCCTTCCTGGGCGCTGTGATCCTGGAGCAGTCCCCGCTCACTGCCGTTCAGCTGCTCTGGGTGAACCTCATCATGGACTCATTCGCGTCGCTGGCATTGGCCACGGAGCCGCCCACGCCCGCACTGCTTGAGCGACGACCGTACCCGAAGACGAAGCCGCTGCTGTCCAAGATCATGACCAAGCACATCATCGGCCAGTCCATCTACCAGCTCGTGATCCTGCTCATGCTCACGTTCGTGGGCGAGAAGATCCTGAACATCCCATCGGGCCGCTTCCAGGACCTGGCCGACGACGTCAAGCACGAGCCCACGCAGCACATGACCGTCATCTTCAACACGTTCGTGTGGATGCAGCTCTTCAACGAGCTCAACTGCCGCAAGATCCACGACGAGGCCAACATCTTCGAGGGCCTGATGGGCAACCATGTCTACATCTACGTGACGCTGCTGCAGATCGCCATGCAGTTGCTCATCGTGCAGTGCACAGGCGCCTTCTTCAACTGCGAGCCGCTGACGGCGGGCCAGTGGGGCATCTCAATCGGCCTGGGCGCCGGCTCCATGCCGCTGCGCGCGATACTGCGCTGCCTGTCGGCCAAGTGGTTGCCAGCCTTCTGCCGAGACGCCGACGCCGTGGATGTGCAGGGCTTCCCGCCGACCGCCAAGGCCATTCGCAAAGGTAGTTCCCAGAAGGCGGCCATGGGGCAGTAGAGTCAGTCACACAACAACAGAGACCGAGTTAACGAGTGCGAGAACAAAGCTCAACTTTATATATTTCTTCACCCGCGGTGACTGTGCCCGTTGCATGCCATAGTCACCGTGGCAGGGCTCCAGGACACTTCCCGCGCACATGAAATAACATAGCCAAACCGAGTTCCTCGAATAATTTCATGGTTCGCCGCATCCGGACAATAACGTCCATCTGCGTTTGCGCAATGGCGTCCTCAGACGTCCTCCCGATTTACAGCGATTTGCGCAAACGTTGACGCGGGTTCAACTAGCGTTGCAAGAGGCAAGAGCCGCTGGGTCGCATCGAGCCCGGGGACGCAAGCCTCAGCAGTCATTGTTCAATCCGCCGTCTGCCTGCAACGCACTTCCAGCAGCCATGGCGGAGCACCAACCCTTTGTCGCTGGCACGCAGACGCCCAAGTCGACCGCTGAAGACCCGCCGAAGCCTTTCCGAGAGCAAGTGAACCCGATCCGCTCGGCCTCCTTCCTCTCCATGGTGAGCATGGTGTGGCTGCAGCCGCTGATCTCTCTCGGTGCCAAGCGCGCCTTGGAGCGAGAGGACGTGTGGGCCATGTGCCCCGAAGACACGTCCGAGGTGCTGCGTCTGAAGTTCGAGCGCGAGCTTCTCTCTATCAGCAGCAACAAGGAGACGTCTACGTCGTTGGGCATTCCACGTGTCGCTCTGGCATTGGTGAGGACCTTTCCACGCGAGATCGCTGTCGTGTTCGCGAGCGACCTCATCTTCATCGCTGGCTCGGCCCTCATGTCCTTCTTCGTCGAGGCCATCTTGGACTACATCAACGACCGCGACAATGTCTTCGGTATCGAGAACGGCTACGTTCTGGTGGTTCTGCTGTCGCTCGTGGCCTTCGTGTCCATGATGAGCTTCAACTTCGCCTGGTTTATCTCGTCTCGAGTGGGCGTCAATATGCATTAACTGCTGCTGGACACAGTCTACCGCAAGTCCCTGCGGCTCTCGAGCGAGGCGCGTCAGAAGTATTCCTCCGGCGAGATCATGACGCTCGTGAGCGTCGACATTGACCGGGTATTCAACGGCATGATGAATGGCCCGTGGGTGGGTTCACCGCCACTGTAGTGTTGATCGGAGTGTTGTTCGACCCTATCGCTGCTCTTGCTGGTCTCGTGCTGTTGATCGTGGTGCTGGCCACTTCGTTCAACCTGGCCAAGCGGATTGGAAGAGCTCGGCGCGAGCTTCTCCCCGTGACTGAGGAGCGTCTTCGCGTGACGTCCGAAGCGCTTCAGGGCATCTGAGTGACCAAGCTCTACCCCTGGAACGAGTCCGTGGCGACAAGAGTGGAGAAGATTCGTCGAGAAGAGGTTAAGCGCTACCGCCGCTTCCACTTTCTGCAGATTCTCAACTCCGCGCTGCTGTTCCCACGTTCCTGGCCGGTGTGACGGTGGGCGTCTATGTCGTGTACCGAGGCAGCTTCTCAGTGATCCAGGCGTTCACGCTCATCGCCGTCATCAACGTTAGCCGCCAAGGCGTCAACGCGTTCCCGTTGGGCATCGCCGATCTGTCCCAGTCAGCGGTGGCGTGTCATCGGATCGACGAGTTTTTGGACAGCACCGAACTGGAGATCGTCACCCCCACGAGTGGTCGTGTTGACGATGACTCTCTTCCAAGAGGAAGCATTTCGATCGACGACACTCAGTATTGTTGGCCCACGTCAGTAGCTGACGACGGAGAGAAGGAGGGCAACATCGCCTGTGATACGAGAGCCGTGAAAGGTTTCAGCCTCGAAGAAATCAACCTCCACATTGACGCCGGAGCTCTTGTGATGGTTGTCGGCCCGGTTGGTTCAGGGAAGTCTAGTTTGCTGCAGGCATTGCTCGGTGAGATGCGGAAGACAGCCGGCAGTATGGACATTCAGGGCGATATCTCGTACGTGAGCCAGGAAGCCTGGATTCGAAACGCAACTTTGCGCGACAACATCGTATTTGAGGGAGAATTCGACGACGAGCGCTACGAGAGCGTCCTTCGGGCGTCTCAATTGGCTTTGGATTTGGCTGCACTGCCTAGTGGGGACCGCACAGAGATCGGAGAACGAGGGATCAACTTGAGTGGAGGACAAAAAGCCCGTGTGAGTGTCGCTCGAGCACTTTACCGACAGAACTCGGACATCCTCATGCTTGACGATCCATTGAGTGCTGTTGACCCTCATGTGGCAAATGCCATCTTCGAAGAGTGCATCCTGGGCCTCGCCAGACTCAAAACCCGTGTGCTGGTGGTTAATAGTCACTACGATCTGCTTGTCCACGCGGACAAAATTGTGGTTCTACAGCACGGACGAATTGCTGGTCAAGGAAACTACGCTGATATCGTTGCTCGGTTTCCTGAGTTGGCATCTCTCGACAAACCGACTCATTACATTGAGCCATGTTCATCAATCGAGCCAGAAGCAAGTGGAAAGCCTGAACAAATTGCTGCTGCCTAAGCCAGTGGACGTGACGCGAAACCTAACGATGAACTTGTGGAGAAGGAAGACCGCGTGAAAGGCCGAGTGACCGGCTACGTGTACAAGATGTACCTTGACGAGACGGGCTTCGGTGCATTCATGGTCGTGACGATCGTTGTTCTGGGGTATTCAATCAGCCAGGGGCTGCTTGTTGTCGTGAACTGGTGGCAGGCGTACTGGGCCAGCAACATGCGTGATCCAGATTCGTCCAATTCGGCCACGTGGTTTGGTCTCTGGTACTTTGGCTTCATCGCCTTTGGAGCGCTCGCAACCGTCTGCCGCAGCATCACCGTCATGCTTCTGTTGCTTCGCAGCTCCAAGAACTTGCATGACGAGCTCTTTCGACGTGTACTTGCCGCCCCAGTGAACACGTACTTCGACGTGACACCCGTGGGGAGAATCCTCAACCGGTTCTCAAACGATCTGGATCAGATGGACTCGTTGCTGCCGCAGCAATGGCAGAACTTCGTTCAGAATGTTTCGTTGAGCGTGGGGGGATTCATCGTGTGCGCTTTGGCGTCGTATTGGATCGGCCTTTCATACATCCCCGTGGTCGCAGCACTCGTCGTGACGGGGTTCTACTTCAAGAAAACGTCGCGGGAGGTGAAGCGCCTCGAAGGAATCTCGCGGTCGCCAGTGTACAACCTGCTGGGTGAGACGTTGAATGGGGTCCAGACGATTCGTGCCTTCAGGATGCAAGCCACGTTCGAGGCGATGAACGCGCGTGCTGTGGATGAGAATGCTTCGTTCTTCTTTATCTACTGGGCAGCGGGTCGTTGGCTGGCGGTGCGGCTCGACACGCTCTCGGTCGTGGTCATATTCGTGGTGTCGCTGTACCTGGTGGCCACCAAGGGGCAGCTCGGCACCTTGCTCTCTGGGATTTCTCTCGTCTACGCGCTCATGTTGACCTCGATCGTGCAGTCCTCAGTGCGCGACGTTGACCGCACGGACAACGCGATGACCAGTGTTGAGCGCATTCTCCACTTCCGCGAGATCCCTCAAGAGGAAGAAGATTCATCGGCCAAGCTTCCGATCAACAGCGACCTGTGGCCATCGCAGGGTGCGATCACGTTCGACAACCTCCACCTCAAGTATCGTCCGGAGCTGCCACTTGTGCTGCGGGGTGTCAACATGAGAGTTGCTGGTGGTGAGAAGGTGGGGATTTGCGGACGCACTGGGGCCGGCAAGAGCTCGTTGATGATCGCACTCTTCCGCATCTGCGAGTTCGAGACCGGGACCATCACAATCGATGGCGTTGACGTCCGGGACGCCAGACTACACGATCTACGACGGAGCCTCGCCATTATCCCGCAGGACCCCGTGCTCTTCAGTGGCCCGCTGCGAGAGAATCTGGACTTGTTCGGAGAGTACTCGGACGCTGAGATCTGGACGGTGATGAAGCAGGTTCACATGGCCGCTACTCTCGAGAAATGGGGGGCGGGTCTTGACGTCCGAGTGCGGTGACAACCTGTCCGTCGGCCAGCGCCAGCTCCTCTGCATCGGCTGCGCACTGCTCAAGAACAGCAAGATCGTCGTGCTAGACGAGGCCACCGCCAACGTGGACACGACCACCGACAGCCTCATCCAGGCCACCATCTGAGAGACCTTCGCGTCCAAGACGGTGCTGATCATCACCCACCGCATCCACACGATCATGCACTGCAACAAAATCGCGGTCATGGACGCTGGCCAGGTGGCCGAGTTCGGATCGCCCGCGGAGCTGTTGGCCCAGCGAAACTCCACCTTCGCGTCTCTGGCAAACCACTAGTTGAAGAAAGTGTAGATCTTGTCAGCCCTAGGCTAACCCCCCTCAGATGGTTCCTAGGACAAACGAAAGGACCAAAACTTTGGCGCCCTGCTGTCATAAAACGACACATGAATATGAAGTTTTCTTAGCATGGGCAGAAACCCTTTCCTTAATCTCTCTGTTGACGGATCAGCTTCACTTAATCGATTGTCCTTGTAGACATAAAGGCAATTTGAAAATTGTCTCTAATAACATATCACTTTGACTTGCTGCTAGGACAAATTTGAGGTTTTGACTGGATCTGAGTATGGACACTGCTATTTTTAGCTCCGATACAAATGCGTGATTTGTTAGAAGCGACAGTCTCTATTCTTCTTGGGCCATAAGGCGGGCATACAAATGTCAAGTCATTTTTTGTCCTACCGACGAGGTAGGACAAATCGGCTTATGTACGCCACACCAAAAACCAATTTGGTCCATTTTCCTAAGGACAAAGTTGGACTGGGGTTAAGCCTGTGACTGCTTTTTGGAGCATTCTGCGTGTAGGGTTCGGAAAATTATAAAAATGGGTACTAAGAATCTTATAAAAAATATCCGTGGTTCCATTTCTTGCGTTCCCGTAACAGTAACTTAAATACTAATTTGTATTATTGAGATGCATTAACTATAAAATAAGACATGCTGGGCTCTAAATCGGCATTGTAGTGTTTCAACGATCGTAATCTGGTGAAATTCCACTATTGCTATTACTGGAATAATATCACGTTTTACGGAAAGCTGAAGACTGCAATAATCCGTTATTCCGTATTGGAATTACGTTTTCGATCCATACGCCCGTTGTGATAGCCTTTCACGCGGTGTGGAAATTTTTAAAATGACTCTAAATGTCCCAAATTGTTCTAAGAAAAACCGAAATGATACTCGCATAAATTACGAATTTGAAGCGGTAATTAAAGATATACGTCCTAGCACTCCTAATTAAAACGTTTTGGACATTACTCGGGATTTGCTTACATTTATATATCTATATATAGAGTATATTTGCTACGTGGAAAGCATAACACTCTTGCTAGAGCCAAGGTTTTAGGACATGTCCTAAACATAATCCTAGAAGGCATCCTAAAAACCGGTTTACTTTCTTAACATAAACTCCGCCCTTTAGGAACGCCGACGTTTCAGGTTTTTAAGACATTTAGGACGCTTGCGATGCATCATCGTGCACAACGAAGCAATATCCACCATGTCGACGGCAAAATCCCATCCGGACAGACTCAGCACAGCAGACATCTACCGTGCTATCTGCACAACCCACGCCAATACGTCTGCGGCTCACAGTCTCTTGTGGTTTGGTAGCACGCACAAAATCGTCAGATGTGGCACCGTAGCTACAAACACAACAACAGCCGAGCTAGTCGGCCCATGTTGGCCTGCGCTGAGATGTACCCCAGCGGTTCGGCCCTTCCGGGACAGTGATGTCTCGTCCTCGCCGAGACCAAGTACCCCAAGCCAGTCAATCACGGAAGCCAGCTGAGTTACCTGACTCCGGAATTAGAAATCCCGTGCCCTCCGCCAAAGGACGGACGACGGCCCTCGCAGGCTTTTACGGGTCGCCGAGAGCAAAGGCTTCTCGACTCAGCAATCAGTGCCCGGGACGTACGGGAACACCGGCTCGCTGCGGTGGCGAGACTTTTCCTTCGCGCTTGGCGAGACAGCGCCCAACCCGGGCCGCCCTTAATCTCTTGGCGCTACCAGTCAACACCCTACAAGCTATGCCTCTCGGGTGCTGACAGCAGACATAATCCGGCCCGTGCAGGGACTTACTGGAAGCGCGTGCACGTGTTGTGGACCTAGAAAATTCTGCTCTGTTTGGTTGTTATCTCTGTCGGGCGCCCTGAAGGGGCGCCTCTACTATTCCTAAGATCCTATACAAATACCAAATGAAAGTGGGTGGTTTTGGATCTCGGCCGACCCTTCGCTGAGCGCAGCGACGCTTGAGCTCGGCTGGTCCGGATAAGGCGTCCGGATAACTCTTCGAACTCGGCTGAGCCGGATAAAGTGTCCGGATAAGCCGGTGAACTCGGCTGAGCCGGATAACCCAGTGAACTCGGCGGAGCGACCCGCGAACTCGGCGGAGCGACCCGTGAACTCGACTGCGCGACTCCCGGACTCAATTGAGCCTGGTTACCGTATCGGACGGTACATGGTACCGTTTAGCCGAGCTCGGCGGCTTGAACTCCCCATGATCTCGGCTGAGTGTGTCCAGTGCCTTCCTGAACTCGGCTGGGTCTTCATCACTGGGCCTGCCACGTGTCACCAGGTCGAAGCCGGTGTGCCTGAGTTTCTGACACCATCAGCCGAGTTCAGCGGTCGTCCACCAGCGCATTCTTGCCCACTGAGCTCGGCGGACGGTCATCCCGCCGAGTAGTACTTGGCTCCTGGTACGTTGTTCCACTGCGGCCGTGGAGTGTGACACAAAACTTGATGTTCCCTACACCACAACTGCCCCGGCCATGCTACGAGCCGGAGTGGTGAGTGGCCTGGCCGACTGGATGTGTCGCACGCTTGATTTCGACCAATCCGATCTGTCCCAAACACTCTGAGTTCACATTTCCCGAATTCGAGTGGCCAGAAACGCCCGCAACGCCAGCTCGACGCCCTTGTTCCGTGAAGGTGAGACTTGCTTGAGCCTTGATCTTTGGTATAGGCCTTGTCTGATGCGTAGACTCCGCGCCTCATGGGTCTGTACACATGTAGGTGCCCCTATCGCTCGCACCAACCCCGTCGTCGGATCACTTCAGCAGCGAATCAACCTGGATGGTGGTCTCGGCGTGGCAGCCGGTAGTAGGGACTGAACCATACGAAGTCAGCTGGTACCCCTGTCGAAGCTCGGAGTACTAGCGGTGATGTTGGGTCTGCCGCAGCAAAGCGAGTAGGTGATGCAGGTGTCGGGGAAGTGCTCGATTGGCTGCAATACCGACGAAGCTGAGCATCTCTGTTTCCGTCAAAATGAGCAGCCATGGATGCTGCCAGCGACTCGGCTGACCCGGTAAGCACGTGCCTCTCGTTTCGGTGCGTCGAGTGGAGCCTGATAGTTGTCTTGGCATGCTACAAGGCACCGGGAACTCGGCGGGTCAAGAAACGCTTCCCCGATCGGGCCGCGCTGAGCTCGAAATCCACCCCAGCTGAGCTTATTGGCGAGAAGTGCAGCAGCAAGTTGAACTAGTCTGTGTCCGAACTCGGCTGTCCTGACGACTAGCTGCTATCCGCTGACCTTGAACTCGGCTGGATTTGAACACAACCTCCGCTTGATCGGCTCAACTAGCCTGGTAAGTGTTTGCCCCACTCACTTTGGTGCGTTGAGTTAGCTCTCACCGTTGCTGTGTCATTTTATAGCCGAACAAGGCGATCCTGATGCGTTTGATGCTCCAGTCGAGTTGTTCTGAACGGGCCGAGCTGGGTTCAGTGGTCAACGGACCTTGACTTCGGCATGTCTCCCGCTCTGTTAGACTAGCTTACCCCGACTGGGCTCAGCTTGGTTGGGATGGTGGTGGGCAAGCTCGACTGGAACATTACTTCATTCGGTCACATTCCAACTCGGCTCGCCGCGAGCTCGGCTGCGTTCAAACTCAGTTTGAGTTCAGTCTCTTCGGTTCAGCTGTGAAGCGTGTTCAGCCTCAGCTCGGCTACACCTCGAACTCGGCATGAGCGCTCTCCAATCGGAACATGGTGCGTTTACCAGCACTCAACTAGGCGAACTTCCGAACGCGATCTCACTGAAACTCGGCGTACCGCAACTCAGCCCAGTGTTTCCTTCGTTGACCGCAACTCAGCCCAGTGTTTCCTTCCGTTGAAGTGAGTACACTTCAGATTGGCGCCATCCAACCCGTGGCACTACTGGAACTCGGCATCCCATTCCAGCTTGATCGTACTCCAATGTTCTCGGCTTCGCAGCAACCCAGTGCGAACGCGACCACATTAGGACGCAGCGTGATCTCAGCCTCGCTTCAGCTCAGCTCTGCTCGGACTCGGCTGCGCATAACGTCGGCTCGACCTAGTTCGTCTCGGCTGGAATCCGACGAGAAGCGCGAGATGTATGCGTTCCCACTGGAACTGGACGCGAAGCGGCCCAACTTGATCGTGGCTTTGCTTCAGCAAGGTTCCTCTTCAATCAGCTCCACTCCAACGACCAGCGCTTCTTCGAAGCGTTACTCGAACTCGGCTCCGTTCCGGCTTGGTTGAACTCGGCTTCACGACATCTCGGTGTCAAACTACTTCCACGCAGAGTGCACTGTCTCGCTTCAACTCGGCTCTGCTTGAACGCATCTCGGCTTCAGCTTGACTGTGGTTCAACTCAGTTGGTGCTGACCTCGGCGGCACTTGTACCTGATCCCGATTCAGCTCGGATTCAAGACAAACCTCTGCTGCAATTCGCCTAGGCGCCACTTGATCCCCATGTTCTGTGGCTCTGCCACGAATCAACCCGGGTCTAGCGCGACTCATGTTCACCTGGAATTGATTCCGCTTCAGCTTAGCCCAGATGAGCAAGGTGAGAGGCAAGCGGAAGTATCAGCGCTTTGAAGGGGTGTTTCGACTTGGCTATGCTCGACCCCTAACCAAGCTCTGCTCATGGTGGCTCAATGTGAATACGACCGCGGCCGCGTGGAATCCATTCCTCTTCAGTCCAGCTTTGGATGATGGGTACACCTTTGCGACGCCGTGACTCGGCGATTTCACCGACTCGGCTTCAGGCTGACCGCAGATAAACTCGATGGTAGCCCTACGTCGGATCGAGTTAAGTCGGAGTCCATCTTCAAAGCAGGTGTCTGCTTCTGCTCAGCTACGGATCAACTCGGCTCCCGTTCGAGATCGCTGGCACGTCGACATTCTCGGCGACGCGCCTGCCCAGCGTGCCTCCGCTGAGATTTGCTCAAGTCCAGCTTTGCTGCAACTTCGGTTTGTTCACCGCCGCCGCGCATCGACCGACTCGGCTAGCCGCCTCTCG